TTGCGGAATCCCCATTCACTGGGTATTTGCCAAGGGCCCGGTTGGTGTCAGGCTGCATTGTTTTGGGACAGAGCCCTTCCCCAGGACTCCCAGGCTGCTGTTCGAAGCCTTGCCCTCTGCTCTGTCCCCGGAGGAGGAAGGGCTGAGCTCGGCCAGCTCTAGACTCGAGGCTGTACCCCACAGTCCCACCCACTCTCCACCAACAGTTCCCACAGAGAACGTGAGCCCACCCTGTGGTCCAAGCCTTGCACAAGTGGTCCCAGCAACCTGAGTGCCTGCTCTCATGGGACACAATGGCCCAAGAACTAGGTTCACTGTTAGTGTTAACTTGCCAAAGGACACAAATAGAAATGAACCAATTAGGGTTCAAAGCAGGTCCATGTGGTTGTCGAACCACAGTGCCCACAGCCAGCGGTCAGTGTGCGCATGCCCTTCAGTGTCCAGAGGCCAAAGGAGGAAGAGACTCCAGGGCGTGTGGTTTCCAACACTGGCTCTGTGCCCGGAGCCTGTCTCCTACATGCAGGCTCTGCTCCCTTCTGATGAGGACCCGAGGCCCAGCCCAGGCCTGGCCAGAGCCCATTCCTAGTCTGATTTTGCTGAGAAAGGAAGATTCAGGGTCCCCTGGGAAGCAGGTGGCGAGCGGCTGACATTTCTGCACAGAGACACCAGCTTGCGGTTAGAGCCTCAGCCCCGGGCAGCCGGCATCACCCCAGTGGCCCCTCTGCCTACCTGTCAGCAGTGACTCGGGGCCCCCCATCTACTCTAGGCACCAGGCGAGCACTGGCCCAGGCGGCCACATTCACAGGCCTGGCATGGGGCCCAGGCTGCTCGCTTGAGAAGGGGCGGGAGGGCTTTAAGTTAAACTCGAGGAAATTGTCCTAAAGCAAGGGCTGGCTTGTTCCAGTCCTAGGATTCCCTCAGAAGCACTGCCTGGGCCGCAGGCTGAGATGCCGAACATCTCACACAGCCTGTCCCCGGGGCCCAGCCTTGGGGATTTCCTGGTTGAGGAACTGGTCAGCCCAGCCCCCTGTGTAAGGCCTCCGTGTGGAGAAAGTGGCCTCTAGAGAGAAAATAAGACTCTTGAGGCCAGACTGGGAAGCCCCACTCTCCTCCAGTCCCTATGTGAGTTTCCCTCTTTGGAGGCGTTCATGCAGGCTGGCGCCTCCCGTGTGATCCCCCCAATCATCATCCATTCTCATATTGTTCAGGAACAACGTAGTGCTAGCTGGGGCTTCATGCAAGACCGGCCACAAGGCCTGTGTGCCTAAAGGGGATGGGTTTAATTCCCTGTCAGGGCACTTACCGAGGTTGCAGATTCCATCTCCAGTCCAGGCCCATATAAGAAGCAATTAAGCAATGCCTCTCTCCTCCCCCCACCACCCACTTCCTCACACATAAATTCCCCCTGCTGAGGATTAAAAAATTTTTTTTTAAAAATAAAAAGAAAAAAAAATAAAGCCTGGCTGGAATGGTTCAATGTTTGAGCAGCCTGTGAACCTGGAAGTCACGGTTTGATTCCTGGTCAGGGTATATGCCCGGTTATGGGCTCAATCCCCAGTAAGGGTATGCAGGAGGCAGTCGATCAAGAATGCTCTCTCATCATTGATGTTCCTATCTCCCCCTCTCTCTTTTCTTTTCTCTGAAATCAAGTTTAAAAAAAAAAAGAAAAAAGTTAAAAAGAAAGAACAAAGCAGGCAATCCCAGTGGTTAGGAGCAGGGACCTGGGATCCAGACTGCCTGGGTCCAAGCCCCAGCTCTTTGCTTACCAGTTGTGGCAACCTATTTGCCTCTTAGAGCCTCAGCTTTTCCATCTATAAAGTGGGAGAATGGTTGTGCCGACCTGATCACCTCATTGTGAGGGTAAGACATGATCATAGATGTAAAGCACTCCTGACGCTGGGTAAGTCCTTCACTGGCACTCACTCCACTGGGAAGTGGGGATTCTGGGCACTCGGAGTTGTTCTCAGGTGATTTAGTGCTAGATCTCTACATTATAAAAAACCAGACATTTTTCTACAATTTTCTATGTATTTCCAATTTTAAAGTTTTAAGACTTTAAAAGTTTGTACCTCACACTTCCCGATCTGCTATTTATTCATTACCTCCTTCCTTCATTTATATTTACTCCTTTTTTTCTCTAATCATTTGGTCACTCAATCATTTCATCTGTGCATAAAACTCAGTCCTGTCTCATCCTGACAAAGGGCTGTAAATCTGCTGACAGGTCACCACAGGGTAAAACAGGAGTTCTTTTTAAAAAATACATATTCTTATTGATTTTTTACAGAGAGGGATTGAGAGTTAGAAACATTGATGGTAGAGAAACATTGATCAGCTGCCTCCTGCACACCTCCCACAAGGGATGTGCCCTCAACATGCCCTTCACTGGAATCGAACCTGGGACCTTTCAGTCTGCAGGCCGACCCTCTATCCACTGAGACAAACCGGTTAGGGCAAAACGGGAGTTCTTATCACTTGGTGTCTTGGCCTCTTTGCCAGGGGCTGGGGGGGGAGGGGAGTGAGGGGCAAGGCGAGCCATGGGGTGGCCACAGGAGGGGAGTGGAAAGGTAGCAGCTGCCACTCCAGATCCAGCCGCTGTGGCTGGTGTCCTCTGGCCAGGGCAGCCCGGCCAGGCAGTTATGCAAGAATGGAAAGACTTCTGGGAGGAAGGGAAGGAAGTGCTGAGGGCCATGGACCCTGAGCTCAGGCGGAGGTCCGCTTGCCCTTCCCCTAGACATGCCCTCGAAAGGACGGCCTCTGTGAGCATGGCCTCAGGGCAGGATCTCAAGCAGCACCTGTGGGACAGGGCTGGCCAGAGACCGACAGAGTCCTTCAGGAAGGGGCCATTTACGGAATAATTAAAGGGCAGACGCTCAGCAGGGAGCTCAGTGCTCGGTGCCCGGGCCCTCCCTCCTGATGCGAAGTCACTCCATTCTTTGTTTTCAACTTTTTATTAAAGTAAAACAGACCTAGAGAACAAAGCCACCCACAAAGCTTCCTTGCCCGGGGCTACATTAATTTTCAGGAAGTGAGCACATGCGTGGAACTAGCATCATTATCAAGAAAAGGCCCATCACCTGCGGCCTCTGCTTCCCTCGTCGGTCCGGCTCCCGCCTGGGCAGCACCCCGGCCGGCTCGGGCAGCGGGAGCCGGGCAGAAACGTTCTCAGGCGTGCTTTGCACCTGCCTCTCTCCCACCACCTCGTGTCGGAGTTGGCCCCTGTGCGTGGCAGCTCCGTGTCATTGCTGAGCAGCGTGTCCTTCTGTGTGGAAGACCCTCGAGATGTAAACAGAAAGGACTTGCGAGGCTTGTCACCCCCGGGGCTGGTGACCTCCAGGTGGGAGGGAGCAGCAGTGCCTGAAAGGGGACTCCCAACAAGTTCTTCTGAGCCAGACACCAACCCTCATACCCCGGAGGACCCATGGCTCTGGGTGCCCTGGGTGCCCACTGCCTTTGTCGTGCCTCAGATTTGCAATCTGCCCACAGGGGACACAAACAGGCCTCTCTTTAGGTATGCTCCCCCCGCCCTCCCCTCACTTCTTCCTCCCAAACCCCCTTCTGGGCAGAGACGGTCCCATTCCACTCAGGAGGACACAGTCAGCTCTGAGGGCACATTCTTTTTTTTTTTTTTTTTTTTTTTAATCAATCTTTATTGTTCATATTATTACAAAGGTTCCTCATTTCTTCCCCCCTCCACCAGGTTCCCACCCCACCCTCTGCCCCCTCCCCATCCATAGGTGCAGTTTATGTTCAGTCTCTTCTTCCCTCAATTTCCCCAATAGTAAATCCCTTTTCAGATAGTAAATCAGTTACTTAGCATTTTCTCATATCAATAATACCTCCACATGCCCAATGATACACTTCACACAAAAGACATTTGCCAATAGGTCCACTAGCCTCATCCAGGCCCCACCCAAGGCACTCACAGATCAACACCCCAGTCCTAAACTAACTCAACACATCCAGATCTAAGCCTTCATCACTTGATTCAGCAGACCCTCAAGTTCCCACGAAAGTTTCCAGCCATGTCTGAGAAGCAGCCCTGGGGCAGGGGCAGGCAAGGAGCGAGCTGTTCTGGGCCTGGCTGCTCAGGGCCTGGCCTCTGTTGCTCTGGTTCATTCCACATCCAGCTGCTCCGGGTCTGGTCACTGCCGCTCCCAACCTAGTTGCTCTGGACTTGGCTGCTGCTCCCCCGGGCCTGGCCACTCCCAGCCTGGTGAAGGCCCATTCTTTGACCAGGATTTGAACTCAGGTTAGAAAGTCTGTCCCAGATGCCACTGGTCCTCAGCCGGCTCCCACGGGGATGTGCTCCAGCTGCGCACACACTGCCCTGGGGGCACTCCCTCATTCACGCAGGGAGGGGTGCAGCCGTTCTCCAGATGTTTGAGGGGGGTCCCCTGGGTGCCCAAGCAGGCAAGTCCTGGTACTCATGGGGCTCCCACTCTGGCAAACGGAACATAGGTGATTTGCCAGTTGTGGGGAGTGATCGGAGTAAAAACAGAAAATCGGCCTGGGGAGGCATGAAGTTTTGCTGTTTTATGTGTAGTTATCCTGGCAGGCCCCTCAGAGGAGGTGCCATTGGAGCAGAAACCTCGAGAACACGAGGGAGGGGGGTCCTGGTCTGTGGGAGACGGGCCAGAGGTGTAAAGGGCCCAGGTGGGGCAGCCTGCTCTATGTGTGTGTGTGTGTGTGTGTGTGTGTGTGTGTGTGTGTGTGTATGTGTGTGGGGGTGAGAGGAGGCCAGAGGCCATGGGGTTGGGGAAGAGAGGCTTGGGGAGGGAATCCCCCACCTTTGGGGCCTTGCGGGCCGCGGGGAGGACAAGGGCGAGGACAAGCTTGTCCTGACACAGTGCGTGTCCGCGGCGGGGGCCCAGGAAAGGAGGAGGAGGAGGAGGAGGAAGCCCTCTTCGCGCCTCCGGCCCAGCCCGGCCTGACGGGCCGCTTCCTCTTTCCAGCCGGTGAAGGCGCAGCCCGGGGCGCCCGGCCAGAGCGCGGCTGCCATGGGGGACGCCTTCATCCGCCACATCGCCCTCCTGGGCTTCGAGAAGCGCTTCGTGCCCAGCCAGCACTACGTGAGTGGGGGTGTGGGGAGATAGGGGGGCGCCCCTGGGCCACCCACCGCCCGAGACGGGGGCCCCCGGGCCGCGGGGAGGGGTGGGAAAGTGGAGGTTCCCTGTCTCCGGGCCTCAGTCTGCCGTCGGGTCTGCAGGGGACGTGGGACCCTGGAAAGGATGCGCGCCCTGCACCCCGGCCCGCCAGCCCCCTCACTGCGCCCCAGCCAGTGCCCTCTCCACTCCGCGTGCTCCCCGCAGCCAGCCCGCGCTCAGGGCCTCCGCCTCCGGGCAGCCCTCCCGGACCACCCGGCCTTTAGGGAGAGGTCCTCCCGGGAGGGGGGGAGGGTTCTGTCCCCGCAGCCGCGAGGGGCCCTGGGGGGGGGGTCTGTCCACACATAGCACCCCACGATAGGGACCCCAAGCCCAGAGGAAGGCCAGGGAAGATGTTCATTCTCTTCTCTCCTCTCCCTTTCCCTCTCCTGCTCCGACTCCCTCCCTTCCTGGTCCCTTCTGTCGCTGAATAGAAATTCTCTGAATCATTGGAGAGCTAAGTTGGGGCAGTTGTTTCATAACCTCTACGCACTGGGGTGTGTGTTTCTTAAAAATCAGCGACATTCTCTTACACAGCTGCAGTGCCAGGGTGTCACAATAAGGAAATGGACATCCATAAACACTGTTATCCAGCCCACACACCTTCCTCAGAGGCCACTTGTCCTCTGGGCAGTGAGACTGTTTCAGGCCCAGGATCTGATCCCAGGTCTCTGCTTCCATTTCAGCTTTCCATCACGCTGGTCAGTCTTCTCTTCCTGTGTCCTCTCGGCTTTGCCACTTCGAAGAGATGGGACCGTTATTTTGTAGAATGTCCCTCGGTTTGGGTTTGTCTGATAACTCACTAGATTCAGGAGGCAGGAGTACCCAGAGGTGATGCTGTGTTGTTCTCATCCGTCCTTCCAAGAGGCAGGAGACCTACTGCTGCTTTAAACTACTGTGTTTTTAAAGAATATTTTTATTGATTCTTTTTTTAAATATATTTTATTGATTTTTACAAAGAGGAAGAGAGAGGGATAGAGTTAGAAACATCGATGAGAGAGAATCATTGATCAGCTGCTTCTTGCACACCCCCTACTGGGGATGTGCCCCCAACCAATGTACATGCCCTTGATCAGAATCAAACCTGGAACCTTTCAGTCCCCTGTCCAGCCCACCCGCCCAGCCCACCTGTCCAAACTCCCCTGCCCAGCCCACCTGCCCAGCTCACCTGCCCAGTTCACCTGCCCAAACTCACCTGCCCAGTTCACCTGCCCAAACTTACCTGCCCCTCCCCCCTGCCCAGCTACCTGCCCCTGCTGCATTTGCTCTGCTCTCTGGAGGAGAGTATTTATTCATTACACAATGTTGCCATAAAGAACAATGAAGATAACCTCTGTGATGTGTATTGCAAATATTTTCTCCTGGTTTATCATTTACATTTTAGCTTCATACACAAAATTTGAAAGGATGTTAATGCATTTGAAGTAGCAATCTTCTACTGCCTTTCGGTTTTGAGAAGGTTAGAAAGTCCCACATACCCATGTTTCCGTCTGTGTTCCTGACCAAAGTCGGTGGGTCCATTGCCCCATCACCCAGGAAGGGCAGATACTGAACCAACAGGTTTTTCACAGACAAAGGGAGGTCTTACTCCTGAGGTAGACAGATGAGGAGACGGGAAGAAAGCCCAAATCTGTCTCCCCAAGTAAAGATTTGAAGTAAATTTAAATGTAAAGAATTAAGGTGAGGAGGGGCTATGCATAGTCATCATTCTAACCCAGGGTCTGATTAGTGCTGGAACTAAGCCATCTCAGGTAAGAAACGTGGACGGGCAGGACAGAAGGAGGTCATGTCAACCTGGCAGAGTTCATTGGTTAGTCACTATGTGTCCATATTGGATGTAGATATCCCATCTTCCTGATTGATAAACCTCCACCTTCTTCAAGGGTCAGACGGCAGCCCAGCTGTTGTCACTCAGTGGTTGAGCGTTGACTTATGAACCAGGTAGTCACAATCCGATTCCAGGTCACGTGCCTGGGTTGCAGACTTGATCCCCAGTGTAGGGCATTCAAGAGGCAACTGATCAGTGATTCTCTCTCTCATCATTGATGTTTCTGTCTCTCTCTCCCTTCTTCCCTGAAATCAATAAAAATATATGTTGAAAAAAAAAGAGTCAGATGGCCAATCAGGACCTGGTTCTGTGTGCTCTGGAGGTTGGCCTAGACCGGTGGTGGGCAAACTGCGGCTCGCAGGCCACCTGCGGCTCTTTGGCTTCTTGAGTGTTCTAACGCCCCTTCTTCAAAATAGACTCGCTCAGGCCCAAAACCGACTTCTGGGCCATGAAATTTCAATCGCACTGTACGTGCACGCTCGCACGTGGTATTTTGTGGAAGAGCCACACTCAAGAGGCCAAAGAGCCGCATGTGGCTCTCGAGCCGTGGTTTGCTGACCACTGGCCTAGAGTCATTTGCCTGCTCCAGCTAGGTCTGCTGGTCTCTGGAGCACTGTGAGGAGGCCTGGTGTTAATCTGCTGAGAAACAATAAAAACAAAAAACAACCAGAGAGAGAAACTATTATGGTCTAGTTTCTGCCTGAGGTCCCTCAGGGGCCACCTGGTTTCGGTGGGGAGGGTGGGAAGGGTGGTTTCATTGCACTCACAAGGTTTCAATTTTTACATTTGTGACTCTGATCCACTTGGGGTTTGTTTCTGCGGCGGGGTGTAAAAAGCAAACCCAACTTTACCTTTTCCTAAAGGCGTGCCGTTGTCCCAACACCTATTTTGTAAAAATCCACCCTTACCTCTGTGACTTGAATTGCCACTTTTATCATGACCTAAATTTACATAGGCGCTTGATCTACTTCTAGATTTTCCATTTTGTACCATTTTTATTGTTCATAATACCACATTGCTGGAGGGGTGGTTTTTGTTTTTTTGTTTTTTTTTTAGTTATTGTGATATATATATATATATATATATATATATATATATATATATATATATATATATATATATATAATAAAATTTACCATTTCCACCTTTTTGTTGTTCTTTTTTTAAAAAAAATATATTTTGTTGATTTTGTACAGAGAGGAAGGGAGAGAGATAGAGAGTTAGAAACATTGATGAGAGAGAGTCATCTATCAGCTGCCTCTTGCACACCCCCTACTGGGGATGTGCCCGCAACCAAGGTACATGCCCTTGACCGGAATCGAACCCGGGACCCTTCAGTCCCCAAGCCGAGGCTCTATCCATTGAGCCAAACCGGTCTCGGCCTTTTTGTTGTTCTTAATCCTCACTGAGGACGTTTTTTCCATTGATTTTTAGAGAGAGTAGAAGAGTGGGAGGGAGAAAGAAACATTCATGTGAGAGAAACACATCAATTGGTTGCCTCTCGCATGTGCTCCGCCCAGACCAGGCCCAGATCAAATCTGCAACCCAGTAATTGACCAGTAATTGAACCTGTGACCCTTTGGTGCTCAAGCTAATGCTCTAACCACTTAGAAACACTGCCCAAGGCCCATTTCCACCATTAAAAATTTTTTTTCTTGTATTGATTTTAGAGAGGAAGGGAAAGATAGAAACATCAACAATAAAAGAATCATTGATTGGATGTCTCCTGCACACCTCCCATGGGGATGGAGCCTGCAACGCCGGCATGTGCCCTGACAGGGAATCAAATTGTGATCTCCTGGTTCATAGGCTGATGCTCAACCACTGAGCCACAGCGGCCAGGCTTACTGAGATATAATTTATTTATTTATTTTTATATATTTTATTGATTTTTCACAGAGAGGAAGGGAGAGAGTTAGAGAGCCAGAAACGTCGATGAGAGAGAAACATCGACCAGCTGCCTCTTGCATATCCCCTACCGGGGATGTGCCCGCAACCAATGTACATGTCCTTGACCGGAATCGAACCCGGGTCCCCTTAGTCCGAAGACCGACACTCTATCCACTGAGCCAAACCGGTTTCGGCTGAGCTCAGCACTTTCTGTATCTCCTGAAACCCCCTCATACCAGCCCTACGGTGAGGTCCTACTTGTGTCTCCAGTGACAGGTGAGACATCTGAGGGAGGCGATCATCTTGTCCCAGGTCCTAACGCTGGAGAGCGGCGTTAGCTGGGAGCCCATGAATCCAGTGTCTTTTCTAGGGTCACGTTGCCCACAGAGCGCTCGGTCCCCAGTTCTTCAGGCTTCCCTGGTGGGGTGGGGGCTGCCAGCTGCATGGCGAGGCCTCCCTGGAAGCTGAGCGCGCCCCTCCCGCCCCCAGGTGTACATGTTCCTGGTGAAGTGGCAGGACCTGTCCGAGAAGATGGTCTACCGGCGGTTCACCGAGATCTATGAGTTCCACGTGAGTGCCCAGTGCCAGGGGGTCAGGGAGGGATGGCACACCCAGTCCCAGCTCTGCCTCTGGGGGAGGAGAGAGACCCGGGGGCTGGCTGGGCGCTGTGGTGCCCAGAGTCTGTCCCCACCAGCCCACAGGGAAGGGGCATTTCTTAAACTTTAAGAAACATTTCATTTAATATATTTTTATTGTGGTAAAATATGAACCACATAAATGTACAGTTTTAACCATGTTAAGTACAGCTCAGTGGCATTACGTATATTCACAATGTCATAAACTGGTCATGGCCTCCCATCTCAAAACGTCTTCATCTTCCCACACAGAAACTCTGTACTCACTCCACATGCGCTCAAGAGGGTATTCTTTAGGGACCTTCTGATATGTGCAGGGTGAGCTGGGAATAGCACGTGCAAAGGCTCTGGGGCAGGAGTGGGCCTGGCGTATTCCAGGTTGGCAGGGGCACCGTGAGCCAGGGGGGGGGAGGTGGCAGGGGGGTGAGTGTGGTGGGCGGGGCCAGGTCTGGTAGGGCCTGTAGGCCAACAGGAGGCCTCTGGCTCTCACGCTGAGGGAGCGGAGAGGCGGGGAGCATTCTGAGTGGAGGAGAAACAGGATCCAACGTGGGTTTTAGGAGGGTCCCTCTGGGTACTGGGTTGAGAGGATCCCTTAGGTCTTAAGAGGATCCCTCTGGATGGGAGGGGAAAGAGACGTAAGAAGTTGGTAAAACCCAGGGCTGGGGGGAGCTCGGAGCAAGCGGTGGCAGTGTGGGGAGTGAGAAGGGTCAGGCTCTGGATGGATGTGTGCAGTGGAACCGGAAGGATGTGCCGGTGGCTGGCTGTGCGGTGGGAGGGAGAGAGAGGAACCAAGGTCACCACCAGCCGTTTGTAGCCAGGGCGATGAGAAGGTCATTTCCAATGTTGTGCTCTTAACAGTGTTGTAATGGGAAAATGTCCCTTCATGTTTTCTTTTCTGTCTAGAAAACCTTAAAGGAAATGTTTCCTATTGAGGCGGGGGACATCAACCCAGAGAACAGGATCATCCCCCACCTGCCAGGTGAGGGGCTGAGTTTCCTGGGTGGTGTTCCTTGTCCTGGCCCCTCTCACCTGCCCCTCAAGCTGCCCCCTCTGCCCTCACCCCTGCGTGGACTTGACCTTGAGAATGTGCTCACTGCTTCTCTGGCGCCCCTCCCCGACCCGGCCAGCGCCGAGGTGGTACGACGGGCAGCGGGCAGCCGAGAGCCGCCAGGGCACGCTCACCGAGTACTGCAGTGCACTCATGGGCCTGCCGGCCAAGATCTCCCGCTGCCCACTCCTCCTGGACTTCTTCAAGGTGCGCCCCGATGACCTCAAGCTCCCCACCGACAGCCAGTGAGTGGCCCCTTTCCTGTCCCGGGGCCGGGGGCGGGAATGGGGCGGTAACCCATCCTGGCGGGGGTGGGACTTCCCCCAGGTGACAGGTTAGGAGACTGAAGCTCAGAGAGGGGCGTCGACTTGCCCGAAGTCACACAGCCAGAGAGAGGAGGTAGAATTCCAACCCTGGTCCGTGTGACCTGCACCCACTGAGCATCCTTTCCAAGTTCCCACTTGGACCCTCTGAGGTCAAGGCTGCAGGAGGCACGGGGGGCTGGAGGGTTGGGGTCCAAAAGCGTTCTGAAAATGGTTTACCCATGGGTGATGGGGCGGTGAGGGCCAAATGCAGCCCCGGAGGCTGTGTGAGAGGATGATGTGGGTCCGTGGCCTCTGAATTAACGAACAGGTCTCGGCCCCTGGCTCCCTGTTGTCAGCGCCTTCTCTGGCAGCCCTGCCCCAGGGCTCTCCTGTCCTCAGGGCCCAGTCTGGAGGCACCTGAGGCTGAGCGGGATCTCGGGGAACAGGCTGCGAGGCCCCCCTCTCTGTCCCTCCCCGGCCACTGAGCGTGGGGGAGACCGGAGGGAGGGCAGGGCTGCCAAAGACGGTCACTCCAGCCGGTGCTGACTGACCCCTACACTCACCCCTGCTGCCGGGCAGGGCTGCGGCCAGCGGCTGGAGGAGGAGCCCTTCCCGCTGGCTGCTGTCCAGGCTCCAGAGGGAGCTGGTCCAGGCGCTGACTGCAGGCTTCCCCGGAGCCAGGGCCTCGCCATTCCCTGGGGAGGAGGCCCTTTCTGTCTTGGACAGGTGGCGCCTTCTCCTGGGGGTCCTTGCCTCCGCCTCCGCGTGGAGGAACAACCCCGCAATCCCAGCGCCCTCTCCTTGCCAGTCCAGTCGCCACCCTCTCTGGGCAGCGGCCCCGCTTCCCACACTCCCCTTCCCGGCGGGAAGCGGAGTCTAAGCGCTGTCCTCCGCCGCAGGGTGAAGAAGCCGGAGACGTACCTGGTGCCTAAAGATGGCAAAACTGTCTCTGCCGCCACCGGTGAGGGCCGGGGCAGCCAGGGCGGGTCACCCGGGACTGCTGACATGATCAGGGAGCCGGGCTCAGGGTGTGCAGGGAGAAGAGCAGTGAGAGCAGTTGTGAAAGGTGTTGGGGGCTACGCTATGGGGTCTTTGGGGTTCACTGGATAGCCAAGGGAGCCACAGCCCAGCACAGACGCTGGGGGAGGTTGTGGCTGAATGAATGAACAGGTTTGAGGGCCAAGGTGGCCTTCAGGGGTGACACGGAGTCTCTTAGCCTGCTCTGGCTGCTGTAACGGCACCACAGGCCGGGCAGCTGGCACTTGTTTCTCACCATTCTGGAGGCTGGAAGTCCAAGGTCAAGGTGTGAGGGTTGCTTTTTTATTTTATTTTATTTTTTAATATATTTTATTGATTTTTTATAGAGAGGAAGAGAGGGGTATAGAGAGTTAGAAACATCGATGAGGGTTGCTTTCTGCTGAGGCCTCTCTCCTGGGCTTGCAGACAGCTGCCTCCTTGCTGTGTCCTCACATAGCCTTTCCTTGGTGTCTCTTCCTCTTTTTTGAAAAATATATTTTATTGATTTTTCATAGAGAGGAAGGAAGAGGGATAGAGAGGTAGAAACACCGATGAGAGAGAAACATCGATCAGTTGCCTCTTGCACACCCCATACTGCCGATGTGCCTGAAACCAAGGTACATGCCCTTCACCGGAATTGAACCTGGGACCCTTCAGTCCGCAGGCCCATGGTTTATCCACTGAGCCGAACTGGTTAGGGCTCTTCCTCTTTTTATAAGGACACGGATCCTATTGGGTCAGGGCCCCACCTTGATGACCTCATTTAACCTTAATCGCCTCCTTAAGGCTCTATCTCCAGATGCACTCAGGTCCTGGAGTCCTGGGGTTAGGGCCTCATTGTATGAACTGGGGAGTGTGTGTGTGTGTGTGTGTGCGCATAGTTCAGCCCACCACGGCAGCAGCAGGAGCAGCACCTGGGCTGGTTGAAAACGCACTCTCTGGTCTCGCCGCAGAGCTGTGGAATCAGAAACTCATTTCTCGTGATGCTCGTGCAGTGTGTGTGCAGCTGAGGTTGAGGCGGACGGCTGGCTAACCAAACGAGAAAGGGGGCGTGTGGTGTGACTGTGTCTGGAACGCTCTAGGCGATCTCCGCTGCTCTCCAGCCTGGAGGGCGCCTCCGCCTGGGGGATGCCTGGAGCTGGGTGGGGAGAGGCCGCCCGCCGGTGCCAGTTCTGGCAGCCCCCACTGGGGACCCCAGCAAGAGCCAGGAGGAGGCAGCTCACGCCCACAGCGTCCACTCACCCTGCCCTCCCTCTGCCCAGACATCACCGGCCCCATCATCCTGCAGACGTACCGGGCCATTGCCGACTACGAGAAGAACTCGGGCACCGAGATGGCTCTGGCCACGGGCGACGTGGTGGAAGTCGTGGAGAAGGGCGAGAGCGGTCAGCCTCCTGCCTGCCTGGGTCTCCCCCTCCCCCCAGCGCGTGTAGCCCCCCGCCCCCTTCGCCAAGGCTCTGGCCTCCAGGCAGCCTCAGGCCTCCTCCCCGCCCGGCCCTGGGGCCCTGACTTTGCCCCTTCGCTGCAAGTCACCCTCCCTCTGAGCGCACTTCTTGGGGCGGCTTCCCTGTGCATCTCTGAGGGGCATACCCTGGGCAGGCCAGCTCCTCGTCATGTGTGGGACGTGGGCTCCACGCTGTGATGCTGTGACCGTGTGTGTGTGTGTGTGTGGGGGGGGTGATGAGGTGGGGTGATTTTGGTGTGGGGTGTGGCGAAGGTGACATTTCTGAATCCGGGTGTTGGATGTTTGTGTGTCTGTCCAAGTGTCCTCACCACCCCGATGGCTGAGGGGGGCTGCCAGGCCTCACCTGACTTATTGCCTCACCCCCCGGGCATAGGCTGGTGGTTCTGCCAAATGAAGACCAAGCGAGGCTGGGTCCCAGCCTCCTTCTTGGAGCCCCTGGACAGTCCCGATGAGTCAGAGGACCCAGAGCCCAACTACGAAGGTGCCCCCTCACCCTTCCCCCGTCCTCCATGGCCACGGGGTGTGGGAGGAGGGGGGTGGGAGGGGCGTGGAGATATTGAGAAGCCAGCAGTGACTCCTTTGGGGTTGGATATCGTGGGGGCTGGGCAGAGGGGCAGTCAGAGCTGGGGGTTCTGGTAGGAGATGGTCAGGGCAGGGAACCCGGAGGAGGAATAGAGGTGGGGGGTGATGAGGTCAGCCTGGGGTTCTGGGTGGCAGTTGGCTAGGGCCAGGTCCAATGGGAAGCTGAATGGTGAGCAGCGCTGAGGCTCAGGAAAGGGGGCTTCCCGGAGGAGGGGGTATCATGCTGACGGGAAGGGAAAATTGGCAGCTCCTGGGCTGTTTGGAGCCCTTGTGAGGTTGTCAACAGTCAGAATTGGTCACCCATATTTTAAAACGGAGAGACTTCACAGTTTTATGTGGATTTATGCTTCCTCGGTAAAACTGGGAAAGGGGTGTATGCGGGCCCGCAGCCCCCCTGCCTACAGCTGGCGGGAGTTGAGTGGCTCAGGCTTCCCTGTATGGGGCGCTGCAGTCCCGCACTTCCAGCAGGTCCACTCCCCTGTGCTCGTGCCTGACCAGCCTCTGAAATCCTGGGAGCTCCTGGCCCCTGGTGTGGAGAGTGGTGGGCGGAGAGGGTAGAGAGGGCGGAACTCCAGGATGCCCCCCAGTGGCTGGGAGGAGCCTGCAGGAGAACAAGAAGGACCCGGAGAGGAAGCCCCAGGCCCAGAGAGGAGGGGGGGGGAGGGTGATGAGTCCTGTGCAGGGCAGATCCTCAGACCGCGCCCCGCCCCCTCCCTGTGGACAGGGGAGCCCTACGTCACCATCAAGGCCTACACTGCTGCCCTGGAGGATGAGATATCCCTCCAGGAGGGCGAAACCATCGAGGTCATTCACAAGCTCCTGGACGGCTGGTGGGTCGTCAGGTAGGCGAGTGCCCCTTCCTCCCACAAGCCTAGAACCCTACCTCACACCATACACGTTTATGGCCAGCCCTGGCCTGGGGCAGGCTCTCTGGGGGCTCTGGGCAGACTCGGGTTGCCTTAGCTGTGTGACTCTGGGTGAGCTGCTGCGCCTCTCTGGGCTCAGTGTCCATGGATGATAGTCCCACCCTACTGGTCTCTTGGGTTCCGTGTCTTCGTCAGAGTGGGCACATTTTTCCTTTGTGATTTTGGGGTCATTTCCCCTGACCAGTCCATCTAGTATCCCTTCTCCAGCAACACAACTCATTTTTGTATTAATTCATTATGTTTGATAACTGGTAGAATAGACCTGAGAATGCTTTTATTTTTAGATATTTTCCTGCAATGCCACATCAATTCCTCCCTCTGCCCCCTCCCCCTCCTTCCCTCAGCCCCCTCCCCTCCCGCCGGGTTCTAGGGGAAGCAGAGACATCTCCCCGGAGCCACTGGGCCTCCCCAGGGCCTTGACAAGCTTTCAGAGCCCTGGGTCACAGGGCCAGCCCGTGACTCAGCGAGCTTGTGGCCACAGCACCCATCTTCAGCACGGTCCTGGGCGGGAGGCTTTGAGACAGGATTTCTTTTTCTTTTTTCTTGATTTTATTATTTTTATTTTTCCCCCCATCACCATTTATTCCCCCCTATTCCCGCTTCCACCTCCACCCACCCAAGACAAGGTTCCCCAACCTTTTAGATCCACCCTTAGTCAACCCCGTATCACACACCCGAGAATCTGCTTGTGATCATCCCACCAACCAAGAAAAATCAGTGTTACTGAGCGAAGTTTGTGTTATGTAAAGCTTCCTCCCTCCCCCTCCGAATGTAATAGTGAGGACAGGAGGGGAAAATCTACCCAACAAATGGTGCTGGCACAACTGGATATCCACATGGAAGCAAACAAGCCTAGAACCCTACCTCACACCATACACGTTTATTTGGGATGGACCACAGGTTTTACCAAGTTCAAAAACCCGAAACTAAGAAGCTTCTGGAAGAAAGCATAGGAGAACTTGAAGAGTGGAGCTGGGCGAAGCTTTCTTAGTACACACAGGCGACCCCTGGAAAAGAAAAAACAGACATATGCACTATTGCAGACGTTTTGTAGTCAACACGGGTCCCTGGAGAGATCTCCATCTGCTCATGTTCTCCCCCTCCCAACGCCTGTGCTGCACACACCAGCAAGCGGAGGCCCGGAGGGGTGGGTCTGGTGTGGGCCAGCCGGGTATTAGCCACCTCCCGGCTGCCTGGAACCCAACGTTTAGCGGGAGCCTCCGTCTTCCACTGACTGGCCTTCTGCCTCCTGCAGGAAAGAAGACGTCACCGGCTTCTTCCCGGCCATTTACCTGCAGGAGGCGGGGCAGGACGTAGTGCAGGCCCAGCGCCAGATCAAGAGCCGCGGGGCGCCGCCCCGCAGGTGAGTCCTCTGGGCTGGGGTGGAGGTCTGGGGTGGCTCAGGAGGGGGTTCCGCGGGTTCCCTCTGTCGGCCTCGGATTGGCAGGACCGGAGCAGGAGAGACAGGGTGGGGGTTCCGAGCCTGGCGGGGAGGCAGCACACCTTCACCCAGGGCTACTCAGTGGCGCTGGCACGGGGCGTGGGAAGCAGGGGTGTGCGGTGGAGGCTTTGAAGTCATAGGCTTTGGGGATGATGGTCCCTGGGCTTCCTGGGGAGAGGGCCGGCTGAAGGCTGGTGAGGGGCGTGGGACATGGACCTGGGCTCTGAGTCACCCCACCCTACCTCCCCCCTGCCCCTCCCGCCCCCCACTTCCCCGGGCCCGGCGTTTGACCCCAGGGTGGCCAGGCGAGGCCCCGCGGGCAGGGACGCAGCCGATGATGACCCGCGTTCCCGTCCCGCCCGGCCCAGGTCGTCCATCCGCAATGCACAGAGCATCCACCAGAGGTCGCGAAAGCGCGTCAGCCAGGACACCTACCGGCGCAACAGCGTCCGCGTCCTGCAGCAGCGCCGGCGCCAGAGCCGGCCCGGGCCGCAGAGCGTGGGGAGCCCGCTGAGTGAGTGCCTGGGGCGCCGGGGCGCCGGGGCGGGCGGGGCCGAGGATGCCCGCTGGCGGGCTGGGGTCGGAGTCGGGGTCTGGGCGGGGGTGGGAGGTGGGGGTCTCTTACCCGGGCCCGCCCTCCGCCCGCAGAGGAGATTGACCCCCCGAAGCCGCAGCCCGCGGTGCCCCCGCGGCCCAGCGCAGACCTCATCCTGCACCGCTGCAGCGAGAGCACCAAGCGGAAGCTGGCCACCCCCGTCTGAGGCCGGGCATCGCCCCCCGAGGGCGCTCCGTTCCCTCCGCCGGGATCCCTGTACAGATGTGATTAGAGCCTGAGGTCCGGTTACCGGAGGCACCCCGGGCCCCGCCCCGCAGCTCCCCGCCCCCCTCAATAAATGTTGCTTAGCGTGGACAGTGGCTCCGCGGAGACTCGAGGGGGTGCTGGGCTGGAATCGGACTGGGCCGTGACCTCTGCTGGGGGGTTTGCAGGGGGGAAGTTGCAGAAGCCGCGGTCCAGTTGCACACTGCCCCGGCCTTGGCCAAGATGGAGTTTGCACAAGGCCAAGTGCAAAGGGAACTCCTGGCTTCCCCTGGCCTTTGTGTGGTCAGTCGTTTGCTAGAACGCTGGCTCCACTGCAGACCGGTCCCGAAGAAGGGCTGGACACAGTACGCAGGGAGGGGCGTCACGACAGGGAGTGACGTTGTGTGTGCGGCTTAGTTGACAAAAAAAAAAAAAAAAAAAAAAAAAAAAAAAAAATTGTAATTTAGGTAAAGGGAGGAGGCACGTCTGATTCTTCACTGAGGACCTGCTCAGTTAGCAAATATTCAGATGAACAGATCCTGGCCATTTACCCTGGCATTACTGCTAGCCCGTGGCTTTGCTGGTGGGTCTTTCCCAACATGCAGACTCTAAGGTGCACATTGGAGCTGCAAACCTTACAGATCTTGGCCAAGGCCAGGGCAGTGTGCAACCGGACCTCGGCTTCTGCAACTTCCCCCACTCCCCCCCACGGAGGTCACAGCCCTGCCCAATGTGTGCGTGCAGCTTGTCACGGAGGCCATGGGGAGCGTGAGGAGCTGCACCTGTGGGGAGTGGCTGCTGAGGTTAGGCAAGGCTGCTACCCTTAGAGATCAGACAAAATTAGCGAGGGGACAGGTGCTTCAAAAGAGAATAATTGACTATCAAACGATGGAGAGAGGCCTTGAGAAAACCACTGGGGGCCCTAACTCCATTTGCTTTTTGCAGACCCTTGTTTGCTGAAAAAGTCCAGTGTCAAGGACTGTCATGCAAAGCTGTGGACAACTAACCACAGGCAACCCCAACCTTTTAGCCTGTTCAGTGCGGATTATAACTTTAAAAAAAAATTAAATACAGTATAAGGCAAAAAAAATTTATTTTCATAATTTTTAATTTCATTTATTTTGGTTAATCCTCACCCTACAATATTTTTCCCATTGATTTTTAGAGAGGGTGGAAGGGAGGGAGGAAGGGGAAGAGTGTGAGAGTGAGAGCAAGAGCAGAGAGAGAAAGAGAGAAACATTGATTGGTTGCCTCTTTTTAAAAAAGAAGGGAGAGGGATAGAGAGCTAGAAACATCAATGAGAAAGGAATATTGATCTTGCACACCTCCCACTGGGGACATGCCCGCAACCAAGGTACATGCCCTTGACCGGAATCGAACCTGGGACCTTTCAGTCCGCAGGCCGACGCTGTAGCCACTGAGCCAACATTTTCCCCCACATTTTTCTTTATTTCCGGTTTCCTTAAGTTGGTGTTGAGCTGGCCCCATAGACACATGCCAGCGGGGCAACCCTGCAGGTCTCTGCCATCACAGGAAGGCTGACTAGCAGCTGCCAGTGGGGCATGAGGTAGGCGCCAGGTCTGGGTAGCCTGCACTGTCTGTGCAGCGGCCAGTCTTCTTAGGTCCAAGCAGAGTGCTGAGCTCTTTACGTTGTGTCTAGTGCTGAGAACAGCTCTGTGGGGTACTAGGTACTTTGCGGATGAGGAAACCAGGGCTCAGAGAATGTGGGTGATTTGTTTAGGGTAAGGTGACCAGATGTCCCGAATTTTAACAATTTTTCAAAAATTGGGACTGTTGGTTTTTTGTTTTGGGTTGAAGTTGAGGCTGAGGAGAGAGAAGAGCGAGCGACGGAGAAGTAGCCGCCGCCGCGGGCGCCGCGGGAGGTGGAGGAGGCCCAGCCGGAGCCCAGAGGTCTTTTCTCGCCGCCGGCGGCCCCCGCCCGCCGCTCCGGGCCTCCTCCCGGCCCCGGAACTCCGGGGCCTGTCCGGGGCGCCTCGCCTCTGCACTCCGCTCGCCGCAGCACCGGCCCCGGCCGCACCCGCCGGCCTCATGAGGAGGGACGTGAACGGAGTGACCAAGAGCAGGTTTGAGATGTTCTCAAATAGTGATGAAGCTGTAATCAATAAAAAGCTTCCCAAAGAACTCCTATTACGCATATGTTAACTTACACGGAGGACAATTGTATTCTTAGGACCCTACTATTTACTTGTAAATGCAAGGCCACAGCCAAGTTACCAGTGAATTAAGATATTTTCTTTTCTGGATGTTGTTACCTTATGTCGCTGTGCTCAGGTCTCCAGGGCCTGGAATGTTCTGGCTCTAGATGGCAGTAACTGGCAGCGAATTGACCTGTTCGATTTCCAGAGGGATATTGAGGGCCGGGTAGTGGAGAATATTTCAAAAAGATGTGGGGGCTTTTTACGAAAGTTAAGTCTTCGTGGGTGTCTTGGAGTAGGAGACAATGCATTAAGGACCTTTGCACAAAACTGTAGGAACATTGAAGTACTAAATTTAAATGGGTGTACAAAGACTACAGACGCTACATGTACTAGCCTTAGCAAGTTCTGTTCCAAACTCAGGCACCTTGACTTGGCTTCCTGTACATCAATAACAAACATGTCTCTAAAAGCTCTGAGTGAGGGATGTCCACTGTTGGAGCAATTGAACATTTCCTGGTGTGACCAAGTAACCAAGGATGGCATCCAAGCACTAGTGAGAGGCTGTGGGGGTCTGAAAGCCTTATTCTTAAAAGGCTGCACACAGCTAGAAGATGAAGCTCTCAAGTACATAGGTGCACACTGTCCTGAACTGGTGACTTTGAACTTGCAGACCTGCTTGCAAATCACAGATGAAGGTCTCATTACTATATGCAGAGGGTGCCATAAGTTACAGTCCCTCTGTGCCTCCGGCTGCTCCAACATCACGGACGCCATCCTGAATGCTCTTGGTCAGAACTGCCCACGACTTAGAATATTAGAAGTGGCAAGGTGTTCTCAATTAACAGATGTAGGCTTTACCACTCTGGCCAGGAATTGCCATGAGCTTGAAAAGATGGACCTGGAAGAGTGTGTTCAAATAACAGATAGCACCTTAATCCAACTTTCTATACACTGTCCTCGACTTCAAGTATTGAGTCTGTCTCACTGTGAGCTGATCACAGACGATGGAATTCGTCATTTGGGGAATGGGGCCTGTGCTCATGACCAGCTGGAGGTGATTGAACTGGACAACTGCCCACTAATCACAGACGCATCCCTGGAGCACTTGAAGAGCTGTCACAGCCTTGAGCGGATAGAACTCTATGACTGCCAGCAAATCTCACGGGCTGGAATCAAGAGACTCAGGACCCATTTACCCAATATTAAAGTCCACGCCTACTTCGCACCTGTCACTCCACCCCCATCAGTGGGGGGCAGCAGACAGCGCTTCTGCAGATGCTGCATCATCCTATGACAGTGGAGGTGCCAGCGGCGGCGAACTGAGTATTTAATGACACTTCTAGAGTTACCGCGGAGTCTCCAGTGGAAGCGACCCAGTGTTTGGGCAAGGGTTACCACGTGAGGCAGCGTCCAGATTCCCAGAGCCACACGTACATACACATACCCATCCACTCTAGCTCTGTGACGGGGACTGAAGATTGTGCTGGCTTTATCAAGTGGATTGATAAAACTTAGCCATTCCTGTTGGACGTTCCCAGAAGAAAATCATAGGCAAGTAGGGGGAAAGGGGCGTTCCAGCAAACCCAGTGTTACTGCTTACTACGGTTTATTTTATTAAGGGGTTTATTTGGTGATTTTGGAACAGCAACTGCAGTCCTCCAGGGTCAAGGAAAACATAGAGGAAAAACAATATATGTTGTATCCAGGGACCAGAAAGAAAATTTCTTTGCATCTTATAAATGGTAGCCATCCATTGAGAGATGACTACACAGCTTCTGTGCTTCCTCGTTCCCATGCCAACATGCTGAGCATGCTCACAAAGAAGGCTCCTCCATTCCGCCTGCTGTTGAGTATTTGGCCCAGTGGTTTCCTAAATGGTCACATTGAAATGACTGTGGTCCAAATGTGATTACTTATTCGCTCAGATTGTCACTGTCTGTAGCACACTTGTGCGCCTGTTGTCCTTTGTTGCTCCCTCCTGCATCCTTGCCCCGTCTGTCACTTGTTCATAGTCTGCTTATTCACACTCAGTTGTTACTCTTATGCTGTTGTTGTGTTTACAGTTTGCATTTTGGATGATTAGTTGGGGTTACCAAACATTTTTAAAAGAGACATTATCAATAAATATTTTTTTAATCCTAAAAAAAAAAAAAAAAAAAAAAAAAAATTGGGACTGTTTTAAAACGCCGGGGACACAGGACAAATTGTTAAAAATCGGGACTGTCCCGCCAAAACCAGGACGACTGGTCACCTTAGTTTAAGGTAACTGGGCAAGTAGGTGGCAGAGGTGGGAGGTGGAGCCGGGCTTTCCTTTTTCTGCCTCTAAAGCCCCGCGGGACTCTGCAGAGCTCCTGACCTGTGCGCCATCCTGGTGGGCAGTGCCCTGGTTGAGGATGCTCCGAGGAGGCAGTATGATGTGGGACAGCTTCCAGAGCCCCCCCGCAACTCCCCACTTGTGTTTCCTGGGTTGGAGGAGTAAGCAGCTCTTTCCTCTGCCCACCTGGATGGGAATGCAGGGCCTTGGGACAGATGCAGGGTTCTTCCATCTCGAGAGCTCGCAGGGACCCACCAGTGCCAGGCCCCGCTCCTGGGCTGGGCCCTTCCCAGTCTGTGACCACAGCCCTTCAACGTGTTCCCATTCACAGACACCGCCTCACCAGGACTGCGGAAACCAGCCCACTCCTTCTGCCATTTCCCCAGCCCTGCGAGTGACAGCTGGTCAAGCCACCCTGGTCCCCACACACACTGCAGAGTAAAGAAACCCAGGGACTTTAGGAGTTGATTCAAAGCTCCCTGTGAACGGTCCAGTCCACAGAAGGCAGGCAGGCTGAACCCTACTGTCCCTTCCCTGTCACCAATGGGCCAGCCCCAGGGAGTCACACACAGCAGATGAGCTGGGGCTGCACACCAGGTCAGACACAGCGGCCACTTAGAAAAGGAAAAGAAAGAAAAACAAACAAACAACAAAAAACAAACAAAAAACCCGTGGACTTTGGAGTCACACAGACCTGGGTTTGAATCCTGAAGACTCCTCTACTGGATGTGTGGCCTGGGGCGGAGCCTCAGCTGCCTGTCTACAAACTGAGGAGGCTGAGCTTTTCCCGCCGGCCATCCTGCGCTGTTTGAAGGCCATCCAAGACCCCTAATCTCACATCGTCTGTGACCACTATCGTGTTAGGTCTCATGCAGGTCTGGCTGATGCAGGGCCCCAGCTCTGATATTGGGGATCCACACCTGCTCAGGTGCACCAGGAGCTGGTCCCCGCTGTCCCTCCCACTCCTTGTAAATCAGTGCATCCTGCATCTCTTCTCCAGGAAGTGAGCCTCTGAGCTAGCGGACCCAGCTGTGCCTGCAGCCAGCCTTCCAGTGACAGGAAGTGCCAGCTGGGTCACTTCCCCTGTGTCCGAGGACATGCATCAGGCTCCAGTGGGCTGGGTGCCTTGAGCAGGCCACCACCTGGAGGCTGGTCTCTCCCTCCTGCAGCCTCCCTTCACTCGTATGAAAGCCTCTCCATGGCTTCCCGAGGGGGTCACCAAGGCAGGATCCTCAGCCTTTTTGCATTCTAATCAGATTAATTCCTCCAACCTGGAAAGTATTCACAATTTTGATGAATACTAATTCCAATGATGAATAGAGATAAAGAAGACAGATTATATAAATAGGGGACATATATATATATGCTCTCAAATGACAACCCTTGAGGGAACGTCTTGGCCCTAGCTGGTTTGGCTCAGTGGATAGAGCATCGGCCTGTGAACTGAAGGGTACCAGGTTCAATTCTGGTCAAGGGCATATGCCCGGGTTGTGGGCTTAATCCCCAGTGGGGGGCATGGAGGAGGTAGCTGATCAATGATTCTCTCTCATCATTGATATTTCTATCCCTCTCTCCCTTTCCCTTCCTCTCCGAAATCAATAAACACATGTTTAAAAAAAAACAAAAGCACACATTACACTTAAGAAAAAAAAAGACATCTTGAGTCAACTGACAAAATTGGAATATGAATGGGTGAAAGTATTGCATCAATGTTTGGGTTACAGAAGTTGGTAACTAAATCCTGGTAATGTTGAGAATATCCCTATTCCTAGAAAATAATCCATAAAATATGTAGGGGTAAATGATGTACACAACTTGCCCTCAAATAGTTCAGAAAAAAATTATGCACATATGTTTACATACATGTTATATACTTATTCATTTATACACTTATAGGTAATGTACACACATAAAAGAGAGAGGGAGAGAGAGCAAATAATAAAACATGGGGTAAAATGTTGCAATATGAGAATCTGGCTGAAAGGCATATAAATATTCATACTATTTTTATTTCTATAAAATTTTTCTATAAATTTGAATTATTTCAAAATAACATTGAAAAAAAGACAATAGCCCTAACTGGTTTGGCTCAGTAGATAGAGCATCAGCCTGTGGACTGAAGGGTCCCAGGTTTGATTCTGGTCAAGGGCATGTACCTTGGTTGCGGGTACATCCTCAGTAGCAGGTGATTGATGTTTCTCTCTCATCAATGTTTCTAATTCTCTACCCCTCTCCTTTCCTCTCTATAAAATAATCAATAAAATATATTTAAAAAAGAAAAAGAAAAGAAAAAAGAGACAACCTCCTAACCTCAATTTTTTTTGGCCTTTTCAAGGCAAATGTTATTTGTTTTGCAGTTTTCCATTTTAAACCCTCACTTTCTGGGTTCATGTGGAGGCAGAGGCTGATAACACAGTAATACTGCGTCTCCAACCAACTCTGCTTAAACTTGGAATCATGTTAGGTCACAAGGGACACCATTCAAAAGGGTGTGTGTGTGTGTGTGTGTGTGTGTGTGTGTGTGTGAGAGAGAGAGAGAGAGAGAGAGAGAGAGAGAGAGAGAGAGAGAAATGTGTGTGCATCATGCCCCTCAATGAAAACACACATCTGTCTATCTCCTTCTGGTCTCTGCTGACTGATTTAAACCTGGAAATACCAGCCCCAATGCCTACAGGGGTCAAGCAAGTATGTGACTGAGTGACAAGGGCCAGGCATAAGAAAAGTCAACTAGAAATACAAGAAAAACTTTCTCAGTTTTTACTGGACTATAGTGAAGCAAAAAATGTCATAAAAACAGGTATGATACTGCAAATTATATCTGTGAGCCATAGTGAAAAAACACACACAGAAAAACAGAAACATTTAATAACTCATTTCCCCGTCTCAAAATCCCTTGGGTCTAGAGGTTGTGGTCTATGGCCCATGGGGCATTGTGGGAGCATGCTCTTCATGTCGAGATGTGGAGGACGGAGTCCCACTGGGAGTCCTTCAGCTCCGAGCAGTATTTCGTTTTGCTCAGTTTCATGATGGAAAACAGCTGTTCGCAAATGTACGTGCTCCCGAACATGGAGAGGATCTTGGCACAGTGGCTCTTGTACCTCGGGTAGCTGCTCCAGAGGTGCTTATAGAACTCGGGGATCCCCACCTTGTCGTACTTGGTTTTCAGCACCATGTTGCATTGCAGCTCAATCACCTCCATCTGCAGGGCCTCGTGGATGCTCTCGATCTTCACGGAGAAAGGGGAGCTGAACAGGGTCAGCTCGCTCTCGTAGAGTTTGAAGTCAGACAGTCGTTTCTGGAATTCGGTCTTCAGTTCCACAATTTTGGGAATGTAGTTCAGGCTGTCGCTTTCATTCCTGGAAACCGATTTCAGGGTGGGGAAGTGGGCCAGGTTATTCCTTGCCAAGTGCGTTTCCCAAAGGCACAGCTTCGCCAGAAACGCCCGGATCAGGTCGTACATCTGCGTGACGATTTGTGAATGGCCTTGGAGGGAGATGCTCAGAGTGTTCAGGTGCGTTGTCATGTCGACCAAGAAGGCCAGGTCTCTGACCCAGTCCTGAGAGCTCAGCTGAGGCAGGGGCTTTCCTCGGGATGACATGAAGGAATCAATGTCTTCCAACGATTCAAAGAACCTCTTCAGCACCAGCCCACGGCTGAGCCACTTAATCTCCGTGTAGTAGAGCAGGCTGCCGTACTGGCAGTCCAGTTCGTAAAGCAGAGTGGTGAACTCGCTGTGGTTCAGGCCACGGGAGCATATCCAGTTCACGGAGTTCACGACCACGTTCATGACGTGGTCCATCTTTAACCTCTGAGCGCAGAGCGCCTCCGGGTGAATGATGCAGCAGACGGACTTCAGGTCCGAGCCCTTGCAAACCGTGGCCACCTTGGACTTGAGTTTTGTGACGAGTCCGTTGTTCGCGTCCACCATGGCCGGGGTGCCCGTGGAGGCCACGCTCACTAATTTCGACCAGTTGATATTGAACTTCTTAAGGCTCTTCTCAACACGCAAGAACATCTCGTTTCCAGATTTTGTACCCGTCATGGGCACCGTATCCAAAAGTTCTTCCGACACATCAAAGTTCTCGTCGACGCCGCGGATGAATATGGCCAGCTGGGTGATGTTATTAATATCTGTGATCTCATCGATCGCAATCGAGTAGGCCACAAACGACCTGATCTTTTCACGCAACTTCTCCCATAAGTTCCCGGTCACGTCTTCTGCAGCCTGCACGGCGGCGTTGTCGTGTGGACTCACGTTTGCAAGCGATTTTTTTTGCTCGGGACACGCAATGTCTGATGACCCTAGGAGATACTTTCTGAGGCCTTTTTTTAACTCATGGAGCTTCTCGTCTCGCATCTTCTCGGTATACTGGTCGTAGTGCTTACTGTGGTTGGTCTGATAATGGCGGCGTAGGTTGTACTCTTTGGACACGGACATGCTCTGTTTGCATATTAGACACGTAGGAATATTCTGCACTTCCACGAAGAAATATGCTCTCTCCCACTTCTCTTGAAATACGCGGCCCTCTAGGTCTATCTTTCTTTTCCCCACTTGACATAGAGGTGAAGACATAGAGAATAAAGAAATAAAGAAATATTTCACTTTTCTTTTAACTCTGCTATCAGAAAAGCAGCAGCAAAAGCTTGATGATAAGCAGAACAGAGAAAGCGGGTAGGGGGTGTGGTTAACTGGGGAGTAACCCAACCCTGCAGCCAGGGACCTGGACACTCGGCCCCAGCAAAGGGCTGCCAGAAGGAAATGCGTCTGTGAGGCCAGACCTACAGATTTCTAGAGAAAGTTTCATGAAAAAGCTCCAGGCTTTTTAATAGTGGACAGATTGCCATGTTTAAAAGATACATGAGCCAAGCCAAAAACATCCTGGTAAAGTTCGGCAAGCAGCTCTGTTTGCCACATCTGGCTTAAATAGGAATGATTTGAAAGTACGTTTTCATTTAACATATTTTTTCTTTTGATTCTCAAGAGAACTTTATAATCAGAGAAGGGAGCAAGCACAGAAGGTGTACGATTCACCTGCTGGGTGTTACAAAAGACAGGTGATGGCCAGAGAACCGCACAGAACTTGTTTTAAATGCAAAGAACCTGGCCACGATGCAGGTAAGCTTTACTTTGAAAGAACAGACATAAAAACTCACTTTCGGTAGCAAATTCAATGCTTGAACTTTACATCAAATTAAAAATATATAAGTATATACCGGGACAGAAAGTCTACTTAGTGGCTGGTATGCCTGGGCCTTAAGGTGGAAACGGGAAGTGACTGGAAATGGTGGGAGGAGTGTCTGGGGGGCAATGGAAATGTTCTATCAATTTGGTTGATAGCTGCACAACTCCCTAAATTTACTAAAAATCACCGAATTGCATATACTCTACACAAGTGAATTTTCTGGCATTAAATTATGCCTCAATAAAGCTATTACAAATGTAAAAATCATTTAGCAACCACAGGAGTTTAGGTCTAATAATTGAGCCTTTCAACAGAATACTTTAGTTTCCAAATTTTAAGTGAGAAGGTTCCCTGGTGATTAAGCTCTTGAGAACACCTCTACACCTCCTGCCTCACTCACCCTATAGGATGGTAACTTGCCTGAAGAATTCCAGGGGAGACATTAAAAATATTTAACCAGCAGAGTGCCTGCCTGGGCATTGCTCAATCAGAACAGTTGTCAACGTCAGCACTGGTGGGGGCTTGGCGGATTCTGGGAGCACTGCTGTGCCAGGTGGTACCCCTTTTAGTTTGAACTGTGGGAGTTTGGGGGTAGGGGCCCAAGGGAGTGGGGCTGGGGTGGCCAGGAATCACTGTCTACCAACTGAGACGGACTATTCAGTATTATAATATGAGCCCCAGCCACAAAGGGTTCACATATCACATACAGTCTGCTGTGCAGCAAGGTCCATCAAACTCATGTGTGAGAAAAATGCCTGGCTGGTTTGGCTCAATGGATAGAGTGCTGGCCTACAGACCGAAGGGTCCCAGGTTCGATTCTGGCCAAGGGCACATACCTTGGTTGCAGGCTCCTCCTTGGCCCAGGCCCTGGTGAGGGCTCCTGCAGGAGGCAACCAATCGATGTGTTTCTCTCCATATCGATGTTTCTGTTTTTCCCTCTCTCTTCCACTCTAAAAAAAATCAATGGAAAAAATATCCTCAGGTGAGGATAAAAAAAAAAAAAAAAAAGCCTGGCTAAGGAACAGAATTAAGACTTTGCAACAAGCAGGAAAAAGAAAATGCGTATAAAGAGCAGCATGCTTTGCGCTAAGGTTCAAGAAGCAAGGACTCGGGGAGACACTTCCCGTTTCACAGCGGCTGCTGGAACGATATCTCCCCCCGCATACTCACCGTTGTTAAACTCCAGGCCTGGAAGTGGTCTGAAGAGAGAGAGATTGGTGAATGCAACAACGTTCATTTTTCCTCCTGTCCATTTAGTTCTATTTGACAAACTTTGGCGAGTGTCAGCTCTATGCTACTGCAGTGGGATATAAAACTGAGACAACTGCCCATGATCACCAGGAAACAGAAACAGGGCCCTGGCCAGTGTTGCTAAGTGGTTACAGCGGTGGCCCGAGTACCAAAGGGTTGTGGGTTCCATTTCTGGTCAAGGGCATGTACCGGGGTTGCAGGTTCGATCCCCAGCCCCTAGTCAGGGTGCATGCAGGAGGCAACCCATTAATGTGTCTCTCTTATATCGATATTTCTTTCTGTGTCTCCTCCTTCCTCCCTCCCTTCCATTCTCTCTAAAAATCAATGGAAAATAATATCCTTGGGTGAGGATTAAAAATAACAATAACAAAGGAAACAGGGACAGGGCACACAGCTCACAGAAGCAGGATGACTGCAGGGACTCATGGCCCACCTCCTGGGGGAAAAGGTCCTATGCTCCCCTCATCCACTGCAGGCAAGTGGCTGTCTGCAGATGCATTTTCATGGCCAAGAGGGGAACTCTCACTTACTTAAGGACTGTGAATCTGATAGATTCTGCAGCATCCAAGATCCTCCTCAGGGAGCTGATTTCCAGGTACCCAGGGGCTTTGAATACCACCCCCGGGGGCATGCCATCGATGACCACGCAGCCAGGGTTGAACGTGATTTTCCTGTAAGGAACTTTCACGGGGAAATCCACGCCAATGGCTTCCCCTGTGATGAGACAAACAGCAAAAAATTCATTGCATTCATCACTTACTTAACCCAAACTATACTTTATCTTTAATGTTAGGACTTTAAAGGAACAATGGTGATTCACATCAAGGAACAATGGTGATGAGCCATTATTCTATTAATTTTCCAGGACTACTATGATATAAGAATAATTTTACTGATTTTGAAATTGGCAATGGGTATTATAGCAGACATAGTTTCTCAATCCATCAAAAAGGGATTATCATAGTATCTACTGAAAAAAGTTTTTGTGAGGATTCAATATTTAATCACGTGTTCAGCATTAAAAACAATGTTCAACCATGGTAAGAACTCAGTAAATCAAAGATAGCTATTATTATTATTTCAATTAGTGTTCCTATGTAAAAGCTTTTCAGTAAAAATACACACTCATGCCGAAACCGGTTTGGCTCAATGGATAGAGCGTTGGCTTGGGGACTGAAGGGTCTCGGGTTCGATTCCGGTGAAGGGCATGTACCTTGGTTGCGGGCATATCCCTAGTAGGGGGTGTGCAGGAGGCAGCTGATGGATGACTCTCTCTCATTGATGTTTCTGACTCTCTATCCCTCTCTCTTCCTCTCTGTACAAAATCAATAAAATATATATATAAAAAAAAATACACACTCATTTTGATTACAGCTCTTTCACAGAAAGATCAGTTTCTTAAAGTATTCGATTAAAAAGAACTATTTAAATATATAAATTTTGGATTGTAAAGATATAAAAACTTACCAAATTTTCGACTAAAGAGGTCATTAACTTGTTCTCTTAGCTGTTTTATCTTTTCTATGCTTGATAACCTGTCCTTCTCATTATCTAAAATAATTAAACAAACAAGCAAACTAGGATTATTAATATATCTGTTCCAAGAAAGCTGTTAGAAAAAATGCTTGTTAGCATATGAAAAAGCACTTGGCTTATCATTTAGTTTAATTTTGGCAAAAATTAAGCATCTTGAAAATTTTTAAATGGAAGCCATTACATTACAAAGTTATATTTTCCAAATTATAACTCCATATAAACATACTACATACAACTTTCAGGAACATGTTCTATATTATGAAAGTCAAGGATGTCCATTTTCACCACTACTCTTCAACATTATAAGAGAAATCCTAGCCAAAGCAATATGACATGTAAAAGGAATAAAATGTATTAAGATTAGTAGAGAATATTTTTCAATACTTGAAAATTTTATTCTATTTAATTTTGAGTAAATAAAGCAACAACATGGTTCAAAACTCAAAAGATATAAAATAGTACATGGGGAAATGTCTCTCTCCATTCTCATCTCAGATCTGTTTCCTTCTCCGGAGGAACTATGCTATTAGATTTTGTTGTAGCTCTCCAGATATCTTTTACATGTGCTTATTCAGAAAAGGATATTACTTGATGGGCAGCAAAAAAATTTCACTTCTGTGGCCAATACAATTCAATCATAGCTAGTGTTTGGAGTTGTTTGCTTTGAGATATATTTTCCCATTAATGCCAGAGCATGGCTGGGAGAACAATATATTTGATTAACAATGTTTGATATAAGCAAGATATTCAGTGAGTGGGAATCTGCAGCATATTTTATATTCCTGGATTGTAACCCATAATTAATAGGATGAACTAAGGAAACAACAACAAACAACTCCAAGAGACTGATTCATGTCAGAAAATGTTTAAAATCTAACAAAATAAAAAATATAACATAAATTATGATGAAGCAAGATAAACTTCCATACCTGGAATTGTCACCTGAACGATGTTAAGATCTTCGACGCCTGCTGCAGAACTTGTAGTATTGGATGGATTTGTGTTTCCTTAAAACAGAATTGAAATTTAGAACTTACAGAAAATTAGGCCAATTCACCTCTAAAAATGTTCAAGTGCCATTACTCAGAAGTCCAGAATGAATTTTTTTAAATCTTGAGGACATTAGCTGCAGGAAAAAAAGATGGCTTGGCATCAGTTGATATTTGAGTCTCTGCAGTTTAATGGTTAAAAAGGGATTTTGACCATTAAACTGCAGATTTTAAAAAAATATATTTTATTGATTTTTTTTTTACAGAGAGGAAGGGAGAGAAATAGAGAGTTAGAAACATCGATGAGAGAGAAACATTGATCAGCTGCCTCTTGCACACCCTCCACCGGGGATGTGCCTGCAACCAAGGTACATGCTCTTGACTGGAATCGAACCTGGGATTCAGTCCGCAGGCCAATGCTCTATCCACTGAGAATTTCCTAAAATACTTTTCATCTCAGTTCAAAAAAATCTGGGCACGCCCATCCAAAAGACAAAATGAAATAAGACAACAAATGGCACCAGTATCAAGTTTTCTTACCACTACACTTCTGCATCCAGGTGCTTTCAGCAAAATCACGTTTTACAAAATTAAGAGAGTGAGAGAGTCCTTAAGATGACATTTAGGACTAGAACTCAGCCAGTTCTCTAAAAAAAGCGTGACAGAAAGCCCCCTTCTTTCTTTTCATTCATGTGTTCTTTGTAAAATACTGTAAACTAAAATACATACATATATGTAAACACACACACACACACACACACACACACACGAAATTAAATGCTTCATTTTTCTAACCTTCCACTGGCAATTCCATTTCTATCACTTCATTGATCGCAGAAGAATGATGGCTTTCTGAAACAAAAGCAAACAATATATTAAAAAACTGGAAATACAAATTTAAAAAAATCATTTATTTGCCAGTTCTGCAATTACTTGAAGAAAGCTCTTTTCCTCTTCCCAGCCTCTTGCCCACACTTAGCAGAAGGGAGGCTGCGGCAGCAGGGAGTGGGCGGAGCGGACTATGGGGACGACGTGAGAGGCAGCCCACACGGATGGGTGGCAATTACAATTTTTCATCCCAAATAACTTTGGGAGGAGAAAATTATTATTAGTATTACCTTGCATGTTATATTGATAGTAATTAGGATCCTCTGATTCCTTCTTGACTGACGCAGCTGCTGCTTTCAGAGAAATGCCTTTGAATGCAATGGAAATGACAGAGTGACATGTTAGGCCAAACCCACCAACACAGAAAGATGACCAGCTGATAAAACACCCACGTTCCGTATGGATGAACAGAGCAGCATTATAGTCAGCAATAGAACTTGTAGCACATCACTATGAACAATTGGCTCATCCATATAAAAATATAAATAACAAAAAATAAATTAACATAAAGTCAATATAAAAGGAAAGAAGGAAAGTGGGAGAGACAGATGAAGGAAGGAACGGAGGGAGGAAAGATGGGAAGGAGAGACCTAGAGTGGGGAAATGTCCTGTTTTAAGAAGGCTGAATATATGCGTGTATTTACATGGAATACGTAAACATCCTTCTGTCTTGGGATCTGATAGGCACATGTAGTCTTAACCCACTACAAGGAAATGGACTTGAAAACCTGGGGAAACCACATTAGTAAAACCAAAAGCTCTTATCAGGGAAAGATGTGGTAGATTGCAAAAAGCAGCCACAACATGCTCCTATCCTGTATGCACACCTGTTTGCATTGTGACTTGCCCACTCCTGTTCTCTTGAAGTGAGGTCACTTCTTTCCCCTTTCAAGCTGGGCCTGGCCACATGACTTGCATTGGCCAATGGGACACAGCAGAGTTTTGAAAGCATGGGCATCAGAGCCTGCTGTTTGTGGAGTTCAGTGGCTCGGTGAGCATGCCTGGGCTAGCCTCTCGGAGGCTGGGAGGGGTCTAGCTCTCCGGGCTGAGGGCTCAGACCCAGGAGCCAGGCCTCCCCAGGTGATGCAGCCCCAGCCGGGCCAGCCCAGACAAGAAGCAATGCCAACAGTCAGAATTGTGAGAAAATGGAATTGCTGAAGCCACTGAGTTTTGGTGCCTTTTCATACAGCAGTAGGTAAATGCTACTGAAGTACACGTGCAAGTTTACCAGGAATGTTAATCACATCAAAAGCAAAACTTGTGGCACAGCTCGGGCTTCACTGTTTAGCATCAATTTACAAGCTCTGAGGGTCTTCTGAAAAGTAACAGCTGTTGGTATAAGGACAGTGAGACTGGATATTTAAGGTGTGAGTAGCTCAGTTAGAGGATCATCCCTGTAGGCCAAGGTTGCAGGTTCAATCCCTGGTCAGGGGACATACAAGAAACAATCAATGAATGCATAAATAAGTGGAACAGCAAATCAATGTTTCTCCTTCTCTCTCTTTTCCTCAAATTAATCAATAAAAAAATTAAAATGTGATTATCAAAAAGGAAAACTTGTTAGGACAACCGAGGAACAGAATGGGCAGGGCTGATGGCCACATTAGTGAAATGGTAGATTAAGTTGAGGAATTTGCTCAGAAATGGGACAAAAGTTGATGGAAAGATCAAAGGAAAGTTGACAAAGGAGGTCTACTTTATGCATAAAAAAGAATAAAAGGAAAATGCCATTTATGAGCTTATTTGTACACGAGGTGAAAAAATTTTCACCAATTGGTTAAAAGTTGTTGCCACCTCATATGGAGAAGGGATTGGAGGTGTGCAGAGAGACTTGGGGGTGGGGTGACATTTTGAAAGGAAAGAGTGAACAGGTGAAAAGGGATTTTCCTTATTACTCTTATAAGTCTGAGTTTTTTAAAAATTTGAACATGCCCCAGCCAGTTTGGCTCAGTGGATAGACCAAAGGGTCCCGGGTTCGATTCTGATCAAAGGCATGTACGTTGGTTGCAGGCTCCTCCCCAGCCCTGGCTCTGGTCAGGGCTCCTGCAGGAGGCAACCAATCAATGTGTTTCTCTCACATCAATGTTTCTCTCTGTCTTTCCTCTTTCTTTCATTCTCTTTAAAAATCAATGGGGAGCCGAGACCGGTTTGGCTCAATGGATAGAGCCAAAGGGGACTGAAGGGACCCGGGTTCGATTCCAGTCAAAGGCATGTACCTTGGTTGCGGGCATATCCCCAATAGGGGGTGTGCAAGAGGCAGCTGATCGATGACTCTCTCTCATTGATGTTTCTAGCTCTCTATCTCTCTCCCTTCCTCTCTGTACAAAATCAATAAAATATATTAAAAATCAATGGGGAAATATCCTCAGTTGAGGATTTAAAAACCAAACAAAAATCCTATTTAATAAAAGGCTAATATGCAAATCAACTGAATGATGGAACGATCACTATGGTGCACACTGACCACTAGGGGGCAGATGTTCAATGCAGTAGCTGCCCCCTGGTGGTCAGTGTGCTCCCACAGGGGGAGCACTGCTCAGCCAGAACTCAGACTCATGGTGAGTGCAGTGGCGGGAGCCTTTCCCATCTCCACAGCAGTGCTAAGGATGAGTGGGCCTATGCTGGCAGTTTGACATTCCCCGAGAACTCCTGGACTATGAGAGGGTGTAGGCCAGATTGAGGGACTCCCCTCCCACTCAGTGCATAAATTTCGTGTACTGGGCCTCTAGTATATAAATAAAGGTGATTAAATGTTTTTTAAAAATTGAACATACATAGGTTTTGTAGTATTGTATAATAAAATTTTAATTAAAGTACACATTCCAAGCTGACTAGGCACTAAAGTCCCTACTAACTGAAACAATTGATGAAGAAGAGACAGCTGGGCTGTCAGGGAAACATTCCTTTTTCATCCAGGCAACTGAAACCAGATTGGACAGCGCAGAATTTGACATGCTAATGAAACAGATTTACCCCTGTCCTCAAGTGAAAGAGAGGGGGAGGGGGTGAAAGGAAAGGGAGAGACAGAGAAAGAAATTCAAAATTCAAAATCACTGAAACAGTTGTACTGTGTACACGAATATCACGAGAAAGAGGCCGATGGATGGCCAGCTGGAAGCAATTGTACTGCATCATGACATCCGCAGCAGAATTCATTAATCGGGAGCACATTTTTGTTTAAACAGAACCACATCTCCAAAGAAAGGCCTCAGCAAGACGCCTGCTCTAAAGCCAGAGGGACATGCTCACACCCAACAGCCGTGAGGGAGGCTCAAGGAGGTCTGGGTTGGATCCAGGAGAGGGCCCTGGGAAAGCTGACCACGCCTCCTGCCCCCACTTGTCATCTTCCTAAGGGGGCTGCAGGCAGAACATATGTGCGCTTTGAAAGGCACCCGAGGCTAAGAGTAAGTGGGTGAGAGCTGAAGGCGTGTCACGTGTAAGTGAGATTAAGGCTCCACAGCTGAACGCTGCTCGGCCCAGCCCTGCGGCTCATTTCTCTTCGCTGCTGCGCTGGTTTTACTCACAATAACTAAGGTGGACAAGCACCGTTACTTCTCAGGCTCTGCCACTGGAGGTGGGGCTTCTACTAAGCACATATTTGCACGTGATGGGGAGGGACAGGGGCCTCTGCAGCTGTGGCGGGTGTGACAAGGAGACTGGCCCACTCATGTCCGGGTCCCCCTCGTGCCTGGGGCGGCGGAGGATAAGCCACAGCTGGACAGCTTTCTGGCTGGTTGCTCTGCCTCCGGTTCCATCGGTGGCAGGTCCTCCTTTTCCCTTTTTCCACATCTTTTCTTCTTCGTACTGACCAGTGCTTTTCTTTTGGATTTTCTTAGACTTAATTTTAACTTCACATTTTGAAACGGTTTGATTTCATCTTCTAGGTTGCTTTTGTGAGCATGGTTGAATTCTAGTGTTAGTCTTTTTATAACCAGCGTGTGTCATTTTTACCTTTTTGAGTGGCGCTGTGAACATGCCTGAATTTTATGTACTTGATTGTTTGGGGTTTTCTGACCTTTCTGCGAGGGCTCTCATCGATGTTTCTATCTCTATCCCTCTCTCTAAAAATCAACAAAAACATATATATTTTTAAAAAGTGGAAAGGTCAGCCCAGCTGGCATGGCTCAGTGGTTGAGCGTCAATCTATGAACCTGGAGATCACAGTTCGATTCCTGGTCGGGGCACATGCAATGGGTTGTAGGCTCAATCCCCAGTGGAGGGCTTGCAGGAAGCAGCCAATCAATGATTCTCTCCCTTCCTCTCTAAAATCAATGAAAATATATTTTAAAAAAGAAAAAAAAATGTCTTCACCAGCAAGGAATAAAACAAAAAATCTACATTAAAAAAAAATCGATGAGATCCTTTCAATTCCTTGCTGCATTAGAAGGCTCTTTTCTAGATATTTGAATAAAATGTGGTTATTCTGCAAATAAGGTCCCATTTGAGGTTAATTAGTGTCCTAAACCCCATATTTTGGTTGATTCTTTCAGATTTTCTGCATAGATAATCATGTCATCTATGACCAAACAGTTTGATTTCTTCCTTCCCAATCAGTATACCTTTTATTTCCCTTTCTTGTCTTACTGTAGGAGCTAGGACTTCTGGTATGAAGTTGAAAAGGAGTGATGAGCCGGGACCGGTTTGGCTCAGTGGTAGAGCGTCGGCCTGTGGACTGAAAGGTCCCGGATTCGATTCTGGTCAAGGGCATGTACCCTAGTTGCGGGCACATCCTCAGTGGGGGGTGTGCAAAAGGCAGCTGGTCGATGTTTCTCTCTCATCAACGTTTCTAACTCTCTCTCCCTCTCAATTCCTCTCTGGGTAAAATCAATAAAATATATTTAAAAAAAGAAAAAAGAAAAGGAGTGATGAGAGGGAACAGCCTACCTTGTTCCTGAGCTTAGGGGGAAAGATTCTAGCTTCTCACCACTGAGTAAAATAAAATTGAATAAGTTTCCCTTTATCCTTAGTTTAATCAGAGTTTTATACACACACACACACACACACACACACACACACACACAAACACTGGGTTCTAAAAGCATCAGTATACATACCGGAATCTTCCATGGGTTCCGTTTTCACATGGATGGGGCCACAACTGAAAGGAGAAGGGAATCCTGGTCAAGACAGGCATCTGGACCCCTGAACTAAAATTCCCCACATCTCCTCTCCATGCTGCTGAGTCCCCTTCCCACGCCAAACTGAAAGTAAAACTGCTACAAGTTTCACATTAAAATTCTTAATAATGTGTTACAGAATTAATTGTGTTAACTGACTATAGCGATAGAATCCCAAACATCTTTTTGAGTAAAGAATATATAGCTGACCCTTAGACACTTGTGGGCTAGGAGCACCGACCTATCACACAGTCGAAATCTGAATATATGTCGGTCCTCCACATACGTGTATTCCCAGCTGCAGGTTAAAAACACAGATGACCCTTAACACGGTCTGAACTGTGCTGGTCCACCATTGGTATAAGAAGAACCATGTGGTTCAAACCCATGTTGTTCAAGGGTCAGCTGTAGAACAAAATAAGGAAGACTTTCCAGTCTAAAAAGGATCGCTTTGGAGCTAGATGTGGATTGTGTTTTTTAATCTATCCCTTACCTTTCGCTTGACAATGTCATTGCTCTCTCAGCATCTGTTACTACCTCAGGCCCACCTGTGCAGGAGTAAAAAGACACACATTAGTCCCTTTCTGCATCCTGAAATATGACAACTTTCAAAGACATATAAAATGAGCCCGGCTCAGTGGTTGAGCATTGACCTATGAACCAGGAGGTCATGGTTGGATTCCCGGTCAGTGCACATACCAGATTGCGGGTTCAATCCCCAGTAGGGGGATGCAGGAAGGAGCCAATCAATGATTCCCTCTCGTCTCTGATATTGCCATCTCTCTCTCCCTGTTCCTTCCTCTCTGAAATCAATTAAAAAATGTATATATATTTTAAAAGGCACAAATAAAATGAAAGCCAATACAGAGAGAACAGAACTCCCATCTCCAAGTCAGTGTGGGGAGAGACCATCTCAAACCTGACCCCATGTCCTGGGGCCATTCGTGTGGGCAGAATGGGGGCTGAGGAGCAGACTGGAGCTGGAGCACAGGTGTAGATCCCATGTTGCTGCTCACCAGCTGGGTGACCTCCAGCAACTTACTAACCCGCCCTGTGCCTCAGTTTCCTCATATGAAGTGGTGGTTGGGTGAGAATACATGCAAAGTGCTTAGAATAGTGCTTGGCACACTGTAAGCACTAAATAGTCTCTAATGAAAACACAAGTCATCTGGCACAACAATCTCCTGTCACCTGCCACCCTTGCCTTCACATGCCTCCTCTGAGGAGCCCAGGAGCTCACAACTGTTCCCTCTGCTCCGTTAGCAGTCTATGCTCAGAAGAACCAGCTCCCGGTGTGCCGTAGGAACTGTGTGTATCCCACCCTAAGCCCTCCTGGGCCATCCCTACCTATGCAGTCTCAGTATGACATCCTCTTTAGATCTGATCTTTCATACACAGCTATGGTTTCCAATTACATTCAGAATAATCATCTGGGAAAATAAGAAGTAAGCATACGTTGATCTTTAAGCACTTCTGTTAAATAATTATTATATTTTTGGTCCCCTCAAAGTCCTAAATTCAGGAGATTATAAGGGGTCCTTGGTTCCCAAATGGGTTGGGACAGACACCCTTCCACATGTTTTCTGTGTGGTCTCATTCCTCCTCCTAGACTGTGAGTCTCAGAAGCCTGGGAACAATCACCCTTGTCCCTAGACCCACTCCTGAACCCAGCAACGCCTGGCCCGTGGCTGAGGTCAAAGACCAGGAGGTGACCCCACAGTCCTCACACGGCTGTGCACCAGGACGAGGGGCGTCTACTGCTGCCTGAGGTCTGGGTGCAGAAACTCACAGCAGGTGAGCTGGGAGGAGGGTGGTGCCTCCACGTTCTAGGCGGGGGTGTCCTCCCTGAGCTGTACATCCCACAAACACTACGACCCCCACCCCGCCGTGTCAGAGACGGCCTCCTCAAGGAGAACAAACAAGCTCTAGAATGTGCCGAACTTGCATTTTAATTAGAAAAGCAGAACTGGGTTAGCAGCCAAGGGCAGTCACTAAGTATGAGAAGCTGTCACTTACCTTGCTGGTCTGCCGGACCTAGGAAAGGTCTGCAAGAAAACCAACACTATTACCCAAAGTGAACACACAAGAGAGTCAGATAACAGCCCAACCACCAACTTCTACATGTAACGGAACACAATGTGCTAACTGCAATTAAGCTCTCAGCTTATCTTCACATACACTAGCTGCTATGATGCGACAGAGCCTGTCACCTGTTTATGATGAAGGAAATCCCGGCTTTGTTCTCCAAAATCCACTGCAGAGTTTCAAGGTCATAGTTCTCTGGGGGCTGAAAGGAAACTCCTTCTGGAAGCCCCTCAACGCCCACGGCTGACTGATCTCGCAGCATCTTCTCGTATGGAACAGGCACCATTGCTGCTGTCCCTAAGGCTTTACCTAGGACAGTGGTCGGCAAACTCATTAGTCAACAGAGCCAAATATCAACAGGACAAGGACTGAAATTTCTTTGGAGAGCCAAATTTTTTAAACTTCTTCTAACACCACTTCTTCAAAATAGACTTGCCCAGACGTGGTATTTTGTGGTAAAGCCACATTCAAGGGGCCAAAGAGCCGCATGTGGCTCGCAACCACAGACCTAGCTGAAGAGGCTTTAAATGGCAGAAGCGTACAACCCCTGCTGGCCAATTTCATTTAGTGTGATGCACACAGGTGGTGACGTCATTGGAAGATATATTAGAAGCATAAGGTACCCTATTTCTTTATATCCGAAATTAGAAAAATTTCCAACCAAAGGGCCAAAATAAAATATTTATAATATTTAAATTTTCATATAAGGAAGAGAAAAGAATAGGTCTTTATCTCCATTCTCTTGGAAGATGTGGGATTTGGGGTCCTCGGCCTGGCACACCCAGGGGTATAGAGAGTGCACGTGGTTACTCAGGCTGCTAGATAGAGTAACTGTCCCCGTGTCACATGGAACAGGCCAGGCTGACTTGCCTGTGGAAAAGTTATGAGGTCAACATGGCCTCAGGTCACCATTGGGGCCATGGATCTTTCTACACTGGCCCACCAGCCCAGAGGTGCTGGAGCCCCCTTTCTCATCAACAGGTGTAGCCTGAGATCCCAAGATCCCTTGTGCTGGGGGTCCCCAAAGTCAAATGCTCACAGGGACCTGCAGGTCAGTAAATGTGTGCAGCTGTCTAGAATGATAAACAAGGCCCCGAGATACTTATATTGAAAATAAGTATACCAGTATAACACCTGTATAGTTACTTGGTTATCTAGCTTTTTTTTTTTTTTTGCTTGCTAATCCTTACCCGAGGGTATCTTTTCCATTGATTTTTAGAGAGAGTGGAAGAAAGGAAGGGGGGAGAAACATCGATATGAGAGAGACACATTGATGGCTGCCTCCCATATGAGCCCTGGCTGGGACTGGAGCTTGAACCTGCAACCCAGGTATGAGACCTTTGGTGCAGGGGCCGATACTCTACCCACTGAGCCATGCTGGCCAGGGCTCTTTATCTAGCTTTTTAAAAACACTGTGTAGGTTTTTTTTTTTTTTTTTTTTTTTTTTAAATTCCTGTCTTAATGCCTGTGGAAAGACATGAGTAGGTGGAGAGACTGATGAGGGTGACCAAAGCAACAATAAAAATCTTTAATAACTGGGTTGGCCAAGGAGTGGGGGGCAAGTGGGGGCTCCCTAAAATGGCAGCCAACACTGCAGTCTGCTCCATCAAGAGCTTTCGATGGACTAGAAGAAACCAGGCTGTCTTCTGTAAGAGAACTTGAGCTGGTACTTAATTAAGGACCGCTCTTCGCTTGATGAGAATGTGGGTGTTCAGATGTTAGAAACTGTCTGATCACACCAATACGGTGACCTAACACTTACTCCACAGTGAACCACTGGGAGAACCGTGGCTTCACCGCCACGCACTTTACCATAGCACAAGCAGAAATAGTCCTCCACGGCTTTCCTGAGGATCTCCGTCTCTCCCGAGCTGAGCTGCAGCCCTCTCACAGGGCTCGGGGGCTTGGTCTCGGGCAGGCCTTCCGCAGCGCCTGTGAACGAGTCATCGGCACAGTCAGTACCCAGGCGTTTGTGTCGCACGCGTCCTTAATCTCTATGCGTCCGGCATACAGAAAAGAAAAAGGGGGGAAAGTAACAGACATAAAACAAGATCTTTGTGTATTTAAATAAAAACAAAGAACAAGCTACTAGGATGATCAGGATAATATCACATGATGAGCATCTATGAAATGAATCTATTGCTAAAGGAATCGGGAGTGATTCAACACACAAGGAAATAGTAGTAGTTCAAAGGAAATTATTTTTAAGCAGACATAATGTTTGTTATAGTTATATTTGCTATCAGTCATTGTGTAGGACAACCCCACTGCACACATTCAGGACCAGCTGGGCCCCTATTCTCCCCCTCCCCTGCCGCCCTCCACCTTGCCCCGCCCCCTATCAGGTGCTATTCCAGAAGTTTTGAAACTGGTGGCTTTAATCAGGGCTATTCCAGGAGACAGAAACCACGTGTTAATTTGAACAGGGAAAGTGTAGTAAGATTCATTAACTAGTAACAAGGGGTTGACTACTAAGGGGTAATGAGAACTCAACACACAGCAGCTTGGATGGGGAGCAGCCCTACTGCTGCTGAGAAGGAGCCAATGGGGAAGAGGGTCCCCCTGGGCCCTGTGGGTCAGGAAGAGAGATACAGAGCTCTCGGGGGTGGATGCAGCCACGGCCCATCCGAGGGTGGAAAGTGGCCTGGGGTGCAGCATGCTGGAGCCAGCAAGCAGGGACCCACCCTCTGGAGGTGCTGGTGGAAACCATGGGCAAGCTGCCCCCAGGGGCCTGCATGGCTTGCTGGGTGTTGCATGGAAGCTGCCCGCTGGGGCGCTGGTGGAACTCTGAAACCACCTGCGGGTGATGCCCAGGAAGCCACTCCCTGGGGCACCAGAGTGCCTCCCTGGGAAACTGCCTGGGGCGGGGTGGGGTGTGTGTGTGCAGCTGATTCGCTGGGAAACCTCCTTCTGAAACTCTCTAAGACTTCTGTGAGACCTGCTGGGAAGCCAGCAGGGGTGCGATGGAACTGACTGGATGCTGAGTGCGGTAGGGGAGCTAGCTACTGGGAATCCCAACTGCTGCTGGTGGCCAGGCGCTGCAGGCACAGCAGGCAGAACCCTTTGGTATCAGGAAGAGATGCTCCTTCCCCAGGGCACCTCCCGATCTCTTCCGACAAAGCACCTAGGAGCCAGCTGCCAAGGAGGATGCTCACAGGGCCCAGCTCCCGTTCCCAGGCAGGGCAGAGGAGGATGGACCCGGAGAGCAATAGCCTGACCGCTGTCACACTGCAATACCTTGAGCTAGAGGGGCCCATGCGATGGGGTCATGTTCTAAGGTCAAATGTAAAGCAAGAACTGTGGTTGGGCAAAAATATCTCTGAGCACCCTCAGTCATCCATTAGGTTCAGATTACAGAGTTCTGTGTACACAAGTCTGCAAAACAATTCTTATGCACCTTTACATGTTAGAACCAGACAGCTAGCCTAACAGCAGGAAGCAGCTGAAAACCTATGTGTGTTTGGTGATTGAAACAATTCTGGCTTACAGGTGAAGAGGTGAATAGAGTGGCAGGGAAGTGACAATACTTCCTGCAGAGTTCGCTCTAGGGGCCAGATCCCGCACTGGCCCTGTATGACCTGTGAGCTAAAAATGGTTTTCTTTTCTTTTTCTTTTTTTTAAATATATTTTATTGATTTTTTACAGAGAGGAAGAGAGAGGGATAGAGAGTTAGACACATCGATGGGAGAGAAACATCGATCAGCTGCCTCTTGCACATCCCCTGCTGGGGATGTGCCGCAACCAAGGTCCATGCTCTTGACTGGAATCGAACCCGGGACCTTTCAGTCCGCAGGCCAACGCTCCATCCACTGAGCCAAACCAATTTCGGCTAAAAATGGTTTTTTATTTTGAAATGGTTAAAAGAGTCTGAAAGCAGAGTATCATTCATGACACCTAAAAATCATATGAAATTTGAAGTTCAAATTTCAGTGTCTGTAACTAAGGCTATCTTGGCCAATATTCCATCCAATATTCCAGTTCCAGTACTGGCAGAGAAGTGTGCATTCATTTGCCTATTACGCAGGTTTGCTTTCCCACCACAATAGCAAGCTGAGTGGTTGCAACAGACTTAATACCCCACAGAGACTAACCTATGTCCTCTCTGCCCCGTTAAAGAAAAGGTTTGCCAAGTCCCGGTTTACTCTGCATTGTTTTCTATTATGCACCTATAAGACAAATATAGGTTGATTCCAAATTTCTGTTGTTCTGAGTATTCAACTAGTGAATGAGCACTTGTGCCATAGGGAGTTGGTTTCTAGTTTCAGAGGGGAGGTAAATGTGTTGTTGCTTTTGCTTCTTTGCTAGTCCACGGTAATTTCTCTTTACTTCCCTAACAACTTCTAAAGAAACAAACATTACATCACCTATTCAAGAATCACATCCAGCCAAAACCGGTTTGGCTCAGTGGTAGAGTGTTGGTCTGCGGCCTGAAGGGTCCCACGTTCGATTCCGGTCAAGGGCACGTACATCAGTTGCGGGCACATCCCGAACTGTGTGCAGGAGGCAGCTGGTCAATGTTTCTCTCTCATCGACGATTCTAGCTTTCTATCTCTCTCCCTTCCTCTCTGTGAGAAATCAATAAAATATATTTTTAAAAAAATCACATCCAATATTCCAGTTCCAGTACTGGCAGAGAAGTATGAACTTGCCCTTAACAGTCATAGGCTCTTGAAAAAATACTAAAACCAAGTCTCTGAAGGCACTGAAGTACAACTGAAACCAGGCAGAGTCTGGGAGGAATGCTGTCTTTGAGGAAAGGGAAGCTTACACAGACGGAGATTCCCACTGAGCTGGCTATTCAAATCTGTGTCCTATGTCAGGGCTGCCACCGTGGCCAGAAGCTGATGGGGAAATCCTGGAACGGAGCGAGTTGCAGAGGTGGGAGACCCAATGTCTTCATAGAAATTTCCCTCAAATTCTTGATTGGCCCCCCAATCAAGAATGTCAGCGTAGGGTGAGACTTTAAGGAAAAGCAACAAGCTAAAGGGCTGAGCAGAGATGTAAACAGCTGTGCGATGCCAGAAAGATGGAGTTTAGAATTCAAGTTCTTCTAAGTTAGAGAAGCTTGATAAACACCTTGTAAAACCGATGGGTGAACCCCAGGAGTAAGGGTCACTCTCGAAGACCTAGAGTGATGCCGTAGGACAAAAAGCAAAATTTACACAGGTCCCCACAGGGTCAAGGTGACTGGCCAGTAATTTAACTGCCTTCCCAAAAAAGAGAGCAAGACTATTTAGCAGGTATTTATAACATACCATACACAATACCCAGTATAAAATAAAATAAAACAATTAATAGAAATGTAAACAAGCAGGAAAATGTGATCTATGATGAAGAGAAAGAAAAAAAAAAAATAGAAGCAGGACCATTAGTGACCCAGATGTTGAAATGATCAGATAAGGATTTAAAACAACTGCTTTAACTACAGTAAGGAATTTCCAGGGGAGCTGAATAAATGGGTGAGTATATGGGGAATCTCTACAGAGAAATGAAACTGCTAACAAAAAGAAAGAGAGAGGAGAAAATAGAATGCTAGAAGTAAAAAATAATCAGAAATGAAATTTTCACAGGAAGGAGTTAACAACAGCACACTGTTGAAGAAAGAATCAATGTCCTCAAAAAGAGGTAATAGAAACAATCCAATCTAAAGCTTGAATAGCAACCACAACAAAAAGGGAACAGAGCCTTACTGACCTGTGGACATCAAATTTTCTTTTAACTATGTAAATGAGGAAGACACGGATCGGAATAAATATTTGAAGAGATAATGGCCAAAATGTCCACAATTGATAATAAGCACAAATAGACATATCATGGACAAATTGCCAAAAAAAAAAAAAACCCCACAAAGATTAAACAACCTAAAGGAAACGACACATTACCTTCAGAAGAACAAAAGTTAGAATTCTAAGCTGACTTTGTATCTAAAACAATGGAAACCTGAAGGCAATGGAATCAAAGGTTTAAAGGGCTGAGAGAAAAAATTGTTAGAATTCCACATCAAGTATATACATTCTTCAAAAACAAAAGCAGAAGAGGGATGGTGGCAATATGGCAGATGAAGAAGCCACAGCAAGTTAACAAAATATAGACCAGACCATCTCTGTGAGAACTCCACCAAACAGCTGAGGAGCCACAGCACCCAAGCCATTTTTGTAAAACCATGAAGGGATTGCAGTGTGAGGGGTAGGAACATTCCTGGCATTTGGTGTGTCAATCTGTGCTTGGCCCCCCAGAGTTGCAGAGCAACTGGGAGGAAACCCCCATGCTGGTGCTCCTCCTTTGGGATGGAAACAAAAGAGTGGACCATGTGGCCAACATTCTGCCTTGTCTGGGGGCTGTAGGAGGAAGTGGTTTCTGTCTGGTCTCACTCCAGTTTGGTAGCTGCTGAAAGCAGGTCAGCAGCATGTTAGAGCTGCAGTTCTATGGGCAGACACCAGGGGGAGAAAGATATTTAAAAAGGTTAGAGAGGTCCTGTGTTCCCCCTTAATTCCCCAGCTGCTCCCCTCAGGAAAACACTGCACTGAGGGGCTCCTTCAGTCTGACCAAAGCAATCGACGCTGTAAAAGCATGATCCTAACGAGGCCCAGTGCATGAATTCATGCACGGATGGGCGTCCTCAGTGTGGCCTGTGGGGACTGGGCTGAAACAGGCAGTCAGTGCCACCTGCCATTCCTGCCTGCTGCTCCTGCTCATCTTGGCCGGCTGCCTGGCCTGTCAGTTCCTGGCCCGTTCTCTGGAGATTGGACCTGCAGGACTACTAAGGTAATGAGTGGTTGCCATGGGGCTGGTGGGCCACTGGGCCGGGCGGTCAGCTGAGCAGCACTCCTGCTGTGGGAGCACACTGACCACCAGGGGGCAGCTCCTGCATTATGCGTCTGCCTCCTAGTGGTCAGTGTGCATCATAGCGACCAGTCCATCAGTCCATCGGTCATTCGGTCACTTAGGCTTTTATATATATAGATTTTACTACAAAACAAATGTTTATCTATCAAATCAAGATTCACACATCCAGATCATATATATAAATATATACTGTATACCCTCTGCTAATTCTTGAAGACATCTACATATCTATATATCTATATCTATATATCTATATCTAACCTTTGATTAAACTTTCTTTTTTCTTTTTTAAATATATTTTATTGATTTTTTTACAGAGAGGAAGAGAGGAGGATAGAGAGCCAGAAACGTCAATGAGAGAGAAACATCGACCAGCTGCCTCTTGCACCCCCTCCACCGGGGATGTGCCCGCAACCAAGGTACATGCCCTTGACCGGAATCGAACCCGGGACCTTTCAGTCCGCAGACCGATGCTCTACCACTGAGCCAAACCGGTTTTGGCTAAACTTTCCTTTCTTGATTCCAGGAAATACAAAATTGTAACTCAACACTTGATAGATGACTTATAGTGGTGAAGATAACACCTTAGAGCAGCGATTTTCAACTGGCATGCCGCAATAATTTTTAAAACATGTAGTATCTGATTTCTTTTCCCTTCGATTGTCAAATAAAAGTATGACAACAGCCAACACAACAATAGTCATCTGGTGTAAATGAATCAAAATTATACCTATTTCTCTTGTCAGATCAGCAAAATGCCTTTTTTGGCATGCTGCAACATTTCAGTAACTAGTTTATGTGTGCCATGAGATGGAAAAGGTTGGAGATCACTGCCTTGGAGTATAATTTCCCTTAAATATGACCACACATGCTCATTCATCCCCTGGGCACTATATTGGCATATTGAAGGCTTGACAGTACCAAAGTAAAAAAGAGAGAAATGGAGTAAAATGGTTACTCACCAAAAATCATACCTAACAAGCCCCAAAGGAGTTCTACCCTTCCCTTTAGGAAGGAGTAAAATAGGAGCATTTTTTTAAAAATGTGGATTTATTTTAGGAATCAGGGACAACTTACGCTATATACTCTAAATTTAGTCTACAAAACCAGAGTCCCACTGAGGACCCGGTTCAAAATACACTGACCATGATTCTTGGACGCACCAGTGTTAAATAGTTCTTCACCAGTTTGCCATGTCAAGGGGATGTGTCAGAAACATTTTCAGAATAATGCTTATGACATCTTAGAAAAAACATTACGTAAGACTTGCCTGCAAATATTTTAAGGTTTAGGAATACAAAGGATAAAATTATTAACACCTACAGTATTTTGCAAAATCCTTCTGCAAGTCCATTCTGGCACTGGCAAAAGCTCGTCCTTTCTCGGTTCCAACGACAAACACTTCTGCTTCATACATTGCGATGCAGGCCACTTCCACCCTGGACTTGGCCAGTTCTTTGCACTGAAATACACGGAATGAAGTGTTCAAGGGCAGATCCGGATTTTGTGGGGCCTAAGAGTTCTGCTTAAGAAAGTACATTAGGTACAACATTTTTTAGAATGAGAAAAATCACCCAGAAGAAACCAAAACAAACTTATCAAGCAAATCCCATAAACACGATAGAACCCAGAGAAGAACACGTTTTTATTAACTACCTGTGATACTGTGATTTACCATAAGAAATACATATTTAGTCCACTGTTCCTGGCACACAACTCCTAACACCCTTGGAATTTTCTAAGGGGAGAGAGTGATAAAGGTGAGTTCAGTGAGCCACTCTAGTGAAATAATCAATCCCGATGGGTGTTTGGGAACCCCTACTTATGACAGATCAGATACGACAGATGAGAAGCCCGGGTGACAAACCTGATTGCAACCGGCACCTGAAGGGGGGCAGTCTTGTGGGACTGAGGGTGTAGCCTGTGGGACTGGGTGCTGTCTCTGGGTTGATAGTGTCAGAACTGAGTTGAACTGTGAGACACCAGCTGGGGTGGGGGTGGGGAAACCTGCCCCAATACGCTTTTTCCCCTTACATTTTTGGCTATATACTCTTTGACTGCCTCTTCCTCTGGTAATGATACTTTAAATATCATTTTAATAGTTCCTCCAACATGGTTGATTACATTTTTAGTATTGATGGTTGGGACCCATAAACCATGAAAACTCGTACATAGACAGACATGCTGTTCATTGCAGTATACGGGTTTATGGCCTGCAGAGAGGCATGATACATTCCACTGAGTACCATTCCTTTCAAACAGGAAGCTCCTGCATTGAGTGTCTGCCCCTTGGTGGTCAGTGCGTATCATAGCGACTGGTCGGATGATCAGGCACTTAGCATATTAGCTTTTTTATATATATATTATAGATAATATAAGGTTTGTTACAAGGAACTGGCTCATATAATTGGCTGAGAAAGCCTATGTCTGCTGTCTGCAGGCTTAGAGACCCAGGAAAGCCAGAGGCACAGGTCAAAGGCCTGAGAGATGGCGACCTGATGGGTAAATTCTAGTCCAAGTCTGAAGGCCTGAGAACCAGGAGTGCTGAGGGCGGGAGAAGATCACTGTTTCAGCTCAGTAGGCAGGCAGAGAACACAGTAAACCTTCCTCCATTATTCTGTTCTAGTTGAGCCCTCGACAGAGTGGAGGATGCACACCCATCCTGGGAGGGCCACTTGCTATACTCAGCGATACTAAATTCAAGTGCTAACCTCTTCCAAAAACACCCTCACAGACATCCCCCAAAATATTATTTAACCAGCTGTCTGGGCCTCCCATGGCCCAGTCGAGTTGACACATAAAATTAAACATCATACCGCCTTCACCAAGTGACCAAGGTGAAACTTACCAATGATTAGACATGTTGATGTCATGCACCCATGCATTACTTCATACAAAGTAATGGAGGGGCATCTCACCTTTGTGGTTTTCTTTCCAAAAACCCATCCCAGTCTAGACAAGAGAAAAACATCAGACGACCTTCTGGATGAAGCTGGGGCTGCCCGGATCATGGCCAGAGGGAAGCCTGGGTCCCGGGTGCCACAGGGAAGCTGGCGCTGGCCACTGGGGGAGGGAAGCCCTACTATTTTTTTTTAAATATATTTTATTGATTTTTTACAGAGAGGAATGGAGAAGGATAGAGAATTAGAAACATCGATGAAAGAGAAACATCGATCAGCTGCCTCCTGCCCACTCCATGAAATATGCCCACAACCAAGGTACATGCCCTTGAGCAGAATCGAACCTGGGACCCTTCAGTCCGCAGGTGGACGCTCTATCCACTGAGCCAAACCTGTTAGGGCAGGAAGGCCTACTATTGCATGAATTTCGCGAGTCCGGCCTCTAATTTATATATAAGTTCAGTCCATTATTTTGTAGACTGTCCCTTAATTTGAGTTTGGATGATGTTTCTTCATTAGATTCGGGTTTTGGCGGGAATGCCACAGAAGTGGTTCTGCTCCTTCTCTGTGCATCATGGTAGGAGGCGAAAGCTGCTAGCCTGACCATTACTGCCAAAGGATGGAAACAGATGCATACAAGTGGCGTATTAATTTACCTTTGAATTTAGACAAAACATATTCTCAAACAAGGTAACACAGGTCCTTCATTAAAATGTCAGATCCAGAAAGCTTAAATGTATATCATTCTATCCATAATGTAAGAAAAACAAATTATGACAAGCCCATTATCCTCTAGGAACAAGGGTATGCTTATGCAGATCGGATGTAAAAATGAATTCGAATATTAAAAGTGACAGTGAAATATTCCCCGGTTCTGTCATTTCTACAGTGATCCAACCACGGGCTGTGGGATAGAACTGCGGACCGTCTCACCATGGACTCCAGGGCAGACATGAGGAACGACACCACCATCCTGCTCTCCGAGGAGGTCTCGTTGTCCAGGGGCAGTGCAGGTCTTGCTACTTGGGCCATGATCCCTGTGCCAGAGAAGGAGAAAGAAAGTGAGTAGAAACCCACAGTGTCCAGCTCACACTCAGAGCTGTGAGGGTCCTCCACGTGACCTACTTCAAACCTTCCTTGACAGTGGGAGAAACTGGTACTTAGCACAGTAAGTGATCTACCAAGACCTCTGCACAATAATGCTAACTCTCATAGGGTGTATTTCCCACGAAACCTAGACACCACCTTCTCATAAAGTAAATTCAGGTTTTATACCAGAGAATGAAGCATGTTAACCATTTCCTAGATGAGGATGGAAGGAAATGAACTCTACAGACCCAGTGATGTTTTGTCATATTTCAGCAGGGCAGGGCAGACACCACATTCTGTTTCACATGTACAGAAGAAGGAGGGTTTTGTATACTAAAGACGGGAAGAGAAAAAAATCCCCTTTCCTTTCCTGCTAGGACTTCTCCTGCCTAAAAACTCACTCCAAATTTTGTCAAACTCTGATCAGCATTAAACCACTTCTTTGAAAAAGTTTCTCCAACACCATAAGAAGCTTTTGTTAAATAAAGCATGCAAAACAAATACTTGTCATGCCCCTGCCATAGTTGGCTTAATTATGTTTGTAAGCAAAGGGTAAGTAAAGCAGGCCAGGCCGGTGAGGTAAGCTTATGCAGCAGGAGGCATGAGGCACTGGTCCCCACAGAGCTGACAGCTAAGAGAGGCAGGCTGGGGTTTCCCAGACCATTCACCAGCTCCATGACCTCAGCCTCCTCTTCTCTGAAGGATACACTAAATCAACCACTTTCACCTCGGACCATTCCTGATCTCCCTCACTCTAAAATCAAGGGAACCACCTATTTTATGAGTCATCCATATGAAATATCCAGAACAGGGAAATCTCGGAGACAAAGATCAATGTGGCTTAGGGCTGAGGAGAGGGGTAGCTTCAGGGTACAGGGTGGCTTTCTGAGGTGATGAAAATGTTTCAAAATTGACTGTGGTGATGACTACACTAAAAACCACTGAATTGTTTTAAATGGGTGAATTGTGTGATATGTGAATTTTACCTAAATAAAGCTTTGATGTTGTCATCATTGTCGTTAATCCTCACCGAGGATACTTTTCCATTGGTTTTTAGAGAGAGTGGAAGGGAAGGGGTGAGACTGAGAGAGAAAGAGCTATGTGAGAGAGACATTGGTTGTCTCTTGCACTCGGCTCTGGGGATGGAGCCTGCAACCAGGGTACATGCCCTTGACCAAAATCAAACCCTTCAGTCCTCAGGGCATATGCTCTATCCACTATCCAAACTAACTAGGGGTAAATGACGCTATTTTAAAAAATAAAATGAAATCAAAGAGAGGTTGGATGGAGAAAAAGAAATTAACATTCAGAGGACACATACTACTAGGTGCCAGTGCTTTTCTGATAATCCAATTTAATGCTCCAATTATTCCATGCAAGCACTCAGAAAAAGAAGCCGGTTCACACCCAGATGCCTGGAGGACGTGTTATAAAATGTCCCCATGTGGGTGGTTTGTGAAATGAAAAAAACATCATGAGGTCATGACGTCGTGTGTCCTTAAAACAACCTCCAAGCTCAGAGGTCTCTCCATGAAGCTGACCAAAAAGCTTGGGACACTCATGTCTAAGCTCAATCAATCATTGTTCATGTCTGCATATTTTATTTAGCAAGAAGAAAAATGGTCAAATAGACCATGTACTCTTTCCTTTTTACTATAAAAATTCTTTCAACTGCCGAAACCGGTTTGGCTCAGTGGTAGAGCGTCGGTCTGCGGACTGAAAGGTCCCAGGTTCCATTCCGGTCAAGGGCATGTACATTGGTTGTGGGCACATCCCCAGTAGGGGGTGTGCAAGAGGCAGCTGGTCGATGTTTCTCTCATCGATGTTTCTAGCTCTCTATCTCTCTCTCTCTTCCTCTCTGTAAAAAAATCAATAAAATATATTTTAAAAATAAATAAATAAAATAAATAAAAAATGGATTGTTTGCTTATTTTTATTATTGAATTTATAGAATTACTAAAGGCCCGGTGCACGAAATTTGTGCACTGGGAGGGGGGAGTTCCTCAGCCAGGCCTGCACCTTCTTGCAGTCCAGGAGCTCTTCAGGGATGTCCGACTACCACCACTGCTGCACTTGCCATTCGTGAACCCAGCTTCTGACTGAGCAGCACTCCCTTGTGTGAGCACACTGACCACCAGGGGGCAGCTCCTGCATTGAGCGTCTGCTCCCTGTTGGTTGGTCAGTCCGCATCATAGCAACTGGTCATTCTGATTGATTTGCATATTAGCCTTTTATTATGTAGGATTTGCAAATGTTTTCCTTATAAGCGTAGATTTGAACTCTTTATCCAGTCGCTTTTTGTCCTCCATTTCTTTTGTTTGTGATCTATTTCGTTGTCGCATTTTTGCAGCTTCCCTGATAGGGCGGAGTTTCAGGGTGGAGCCTACAGCTTTGGCTTCCGTCAGCCCCACTCTATGCGGCTCCTGAGTCTCAGGGTCCTTCAGTACTCGCTGCAAGCATCTCTGAGAGAAAGATGCCCTCGATTTTCGCCTGCTACCAAACAGTCTATGCTCTCCCCCAATGAGCCTGGCACTGGGGTTCAGTTCAGTTGGAAGTGGGATTGGAGGTGGCGTTCAGAGCAGTCTGGAGCCCCGGTCTCCTTCCCTCCAGGGCAATCCCGTGGCACAGCCAATCGTCTCTTCTCTGCGTGCAATGTGCGCGCCTCTGGGACCTCCTTTCGCCGCTCCCCCGGGGTTCTGCCTTACAGCCCAGCTCCCTATGGATGAGCCTGGGTCTCTGGGGTCTGGCCTAGAACTGGGGTTCAGAGCAGTCGGAACTGGGGCCCAGCACAGTTGGAGCTTTTATCTCCTTCCCGCTAGGGAATGCCAGCCATTAGCCCAGAAATTTCATTCCTTAGTATATACCCAATGAAATAGGATGAATTCAAATTCTAAGCAAGGTTACAGGCAGAACTTCCTTTTTTAAATTAAAGAGCCAGCCCTATGTGCACTTAGTGATTATCTCGATGCTGGCCTTGAAAAACAATGCTGTTCTATCCAAATGAGAAGGTGCACCTGGCATGGTATTGAGATTGTGGGCATATCTGGTCTCTGGCCTACAAGGTCAGACAGCTAAGTTTATCTTCATCATTCTTCAAACGGGCTAAAGCAAACTAGAATGCAACATTTTATCTAGGAAGAATAGCAAAAAATTCCAAACAACAGTGTTGCAAAATAGGGGTTTTCCTTCTCAGAACCTTTAAAAATAACTACCTGCCTCTAAAGCCTCGCAGTCAGAGTCGTTTGGAGTCCACCTGCGTGTGGTGCTCTTGCGGCTGTCCTGGCCAGATATTTCAATAATCTTTGCCTGCTTTTTTTTTTTTTTTTTTTTTTTAAATAAATCATCAGCCTCCGGTGGTCTTATTTTGAACCCAGGGTTCGACCCAAGAGTTGAAAACATATGCACATAAAAATGTGTACAGGAATGCTCATAGCATTAACCACAATAGCCAAAAAAAGTGGAAACAAACCAAATTGCCATGAATTGACAGAAATGTGGTATGCCCATATAATAATTATTCAGTCATAAAAGAGAATGAAAGACACCAGACCCAAATGGCTCCTTAGTCCACCTACAGAAAATGTCCAGAGTAGACAGGGCAAAAGAAACAGAAAGTACACTAGCGGTTGCCAGGAGTTAGGGGTGGAAAATGGGAAATGACTGTCTAATGGAATCGAGGTTCCTTTTTGGGAGATGAAAATGTTCTGGAATTAGTGGCGATGGTTGCAAAACTCCGCGAATAAACGAAAAACCAATGAATTATATGCACTTTTAAAGGGCGAATTTTATTGGGGTCTCTCAGTAAACAGCAAAGCTTGGGTTTGAAGGGCGGAAAATACAGCCTTGCGGATCTTTCCCCCTTCCCCGCCCCCCTTTATGTCTAAACTATAATGGGCCATATAGACTCCTCTTGGGGCCTCTGGGCTTTTCCGCCCACAGGCCCTCGGGGACTGCCGAACTGACCACACCCCCGACTAACCCACGCCGCGGACCACTCGCAAGGTGAGTGGCGGAGGCGCCCCACTCCGTGGAACAGGCAGTTACCAGGCAACAGAGGAGGCCCGCCCCCTAACCTACCCAATTAGGCACGTCTGCCCACAACGCGAGAGCCCCGCGGGGCGTGGTCTCACGCACCCCCGGCCCCTGAGAGCTCAGAGCTGGCAGCATCCGCCCGCCCCCTCCGCTCCGCCTGGCCAATCGGAAGGGAGAAGGATGCGCGTTCGGTGCGTGCGACCGTCACCCCCGCGGCCGAGCTCCCTCGCCCCACCCCCACCCCCTGGGCCCTGCCCTCCAGCAGCGCGGCTCGGGGGCCCGACGGGCCGGCGGAGGAGAGCCGCTTCTCTCCAGGCACCTGGGCGGGCGGCCTCCCTAAGCCTCCCCTTCGGCAGGCCCCGGGGGAGCAGACAGTTCCGAGGAAAGCACCCGCCTTAATGGCGGCGGAGGCGGGGTACGCACCTGAGGTCCCTGGCAGCGGGCAGGGGCCGGCGGGCGGCGGCGTCCGAGGGCTCGGCCACCGGGGGGCGGCCAGAGGCCGAGGGCGGCCGCCGGGAAGGCGAAGAGATGGGGGCGCGGCGTGTGGGCGGCGGCCGAGGGCCTGTGCCCCACTATCCCTCCTTTTTCTCTTTCTCCCTTTTTTTTTTTTTTTTTTTTTTGGCTTCCTGGAAGGCAGCCTCAACTCTGTCTGCGGAGCCCCAAGTGGGAGTTGCCGTTTCCGGTGCTGCAGAATCCAGCCCTGCTGCACACTCAGTTAGTTCCGGCAGGGGTGGGGAACCTTTTTTTCCTGCCAAGGGCCATTTGGATATTTATAACATCATCCCCATTGACATACAAAATGATCAACTTGGCCAGACATTTAATTAACTCACCCCTAATGCCTTGGCAGGGCCCGGCCAAATGATTCTGTGGGCCTTATATGGCGTGTGGGCCAGACGTTCCCCACCCTG